GTGGAAAAACTTTTTGCCTGTTGTTAGCAAAAGACTAATTTCTAGCCTATATAAAAAGTAGAAAACCAGATACCCCAAATTCAAATACTCACTTTTTTGAAGTGCAAAAAGTTTTTAATAAGATGAGATCCTACTTGTTGATTATTTGAAGACCTTCCCATGTGGTTTGCATTTTGTTCATGAACTCTTTGCCTACCCCATCTACCTTCCTTGTCTTCTAGTAGATATAGTGTTTATGTTTTAATATTTAGGTCTTTGATCCGTTTTGATTTAATTTAGTGCATGGTGTTAGGCATGAGTCTAGTTTCAGTCTTTGGCATATGGACAGCCAATTTTTCCAACACCATTAAAAAGGCTCTCCTTCCAGTGAATACGTTTAACCCCTTTGCCAAACTTCAGGTGGCTGAGTGTCTTTGTAGTTGTGTTTGCATCTTCTGATCTGTTCCATCAATCCTCAGGTCTATTTCTTTGCCAGTATTATGCTGATTTTTTCACTGTAGCTTTGTAGTATATTTTCAAGTCAGGAATTGAGATGCCTCCTGCCTTGTTTTTGTTGCCCGGATTTGCTTTTACTATTCTAGGTTTCTTCTGTTTCCAAATAAAAATTTTAGGAATGTTTTCTCTAGATCTGTGAGGTATGTTAACAGTATTTTGTTTGGGATTGCATTAAATCTGTATTAGTTTGAGAGTATGGCCATTTTCACAATGTTGGTTCTTCCTAACCAAGAGCAAGGGATAGGCTTCTATTTTCTAACATCATCTTCAATCTCTTTTTTTAGAGTAGTATAATGTTAAGCATATAGATCTTTTACATTCTTGGTTAGGTTGATTCCTAAGTATTTCATTTTTTTAGATGCTATTGTAAAAGGTGATATTTCCATAATTTCTCTCTCAGGGAGTTTGTTGTTTGTGTACAGGAATGCTATTGATTTTTGAGTGTTGACTTTGTATCCAGCTACACTGCTGAGTTTATTAACTCTAATAGTACTTTAATGGAGTTTTTGAGATCTTGTACATAGAATATCATGTCATCTGCAAATGGTGATAATTTAACTTCTTCCTTATAAGAAATCATCAACAAAGTGAAAAGAAAACCCACACAATGGGAAAGAATTTTACCCAACAATCCCACAGACAGACTTCTATCCAGAATATATCTAGAATTGAAGCCCCCCAAATTCAAAGACCCTCTCCAAAAAATGGGCATCTGAGATGAACACACAGTTCTCAGATGAAGATATACAAATGGCAAATAGATACATGAAGAAATGTTCACCATCACTGGTCATTTGAGAAATGCAAATTAAAACAGCATCATGATTTCATCTTATTCCAGAAAGAATGGTTGCCATCAAGAAATCAACTGATAACAAATGTTGGCGAAGCTGTGGGGAAAAGGAACACTGCTCCACCGTTGGTGGAAGTGTAGACTGTGAAAATCAGCATGGAGATTCCTCAAAAACTAGGACTGGACGTTTCATTCAGTCTAGCTACTCCCCTCCTGGGTATTTTCCCAGAAAAATTTAAAAGGTCATTTAACAGTGATATATGTACATTGTCATGGTTTATGTCAGTGGCCGCAGGCCTCATGCACTTGCATTGTGCATTAGTGATTTGCTCATTGCCTAGTTCTTGGATTGATGGTGTCAGTGCTACACTCACGTAGGGGTAGATCCAGCATACAATGTAATGACAAGGAAAAGGTGTGTCTCTCGTTTGCCGGTTTCCACCTTGTTTGTTTGCAGTCTCCGTGAACTGTGGCCCCATCATGCCACCCTGGCTTTGAGCCAACTCAATATGGACTGAAACCTCCAAAAACTGTAAGAAATAAACCTTTCCTTTCCCAACTTTGGGCATCAGGTATTTTGTCTTAGTGACAAGTAAAGAGTAACAAAGACATGCACCCATGTTTATAGCAGCACAATTTGTAGTAGCTAAATCGTGGAAACAACCAAAATGTCCATCAACCACAGAATGGATGAAAAAGATGTGGTATTTTTATAAAATTAAATATTACTCAGCTATAAAAGGATGATCTTGAGGCCTTTAAAGGTAAGTGGAGGCAATTTGAGACTATCCTCATAGCGAAATAAATCAGACATTCATAAATATTGTATTGTCTCTCTAGTATAAAAATAATAATAAAAGACAGAGTAATAAGATCCAACATGTATAATGGATACTGTAATAATGAAAGGGAAAGGAAATATTCTAAAAGATATAACTGTATGTGTAAGTGTGCAAGATAGATAGCCATACTACTAAGTTTTTGTTAGTTCATCAAACAGAATAGTTTGTAATGTCATTGTTTCATTGACTGTCCATTTTTATGCTTTGATTTTGTAACTTGAACAGCTACTCCTAAGATAACAATATGCAATTTATCAGCTAGTGATTTCTTACTGTTTTTTTGAAATTCTATATTAATTTACCTTTTTTTCAGTTTTGCTTTTTTTCTGTAAAATAAAGGGCTATGTCAAAAAAACTTAAGAAAAAAAGAGTAGGGAGATCACATCCAACTGTTGAATTAACAGTCAAGCATAGTTAGATTACATCAAGATGAAACTATTGAAGTGACCATAGGTGGCTTAATTGCATAGAGTGTTCTATAAGCAACAGTAGAAAATTGATGCACATGACTATGTTGAGTGGGGAAAGGAAGACAAAGGGAAGAGAAGTGAAGGGAAGGGAAGGGAAAGGAAGGGAAGGGTGGAGGGAATGGGGGGGGGAGGGGAGGGGAGGCAAGGGAAAGTCCACTCAGATTTTCTCTATTTGGCTACTTCAACAGTCCTCTGTGGCCAGGCAGAAGGTAGTGTCTCTGCTCCTGTGTTCCATTCTGATGGCTTTTCTTTGCTCCCTTTACTCCCAGGTCAAAGCAGTAATCCTGCGCCCTGAGTTTCAGTCTGATCAGATTTTAGTGATCTTGGGGGAGGAGCAGGAAAAAGTCTGCACAGGCACTGATCTGGATTGTTTCCTCCATTCCTGCTGACCTTTGTATCCCAGTTGTTTAGTTTCACAAAGGATGTCTTTCCAGCTGGAAAATGCAGTGGCATTTGGGCTCAGAAGAGAGCCCTTCTGCATGGATTTCAGCAGTGTTTGGGACAGAAGGAAAGAAGTCACAGACACAGCCCTCAGTGGTGGAGGTGTAGAGGGTACCTGCTCTTGTCCTGCACCTCACCGATCACAGTCATTATGTACTCTCACTGTCTCACAGATCCCTCAGTGCCTCTTTCTGGTTCATAATCAGGACCATGCCCTTGTCTCCTCTCTGTCCCTAAGGCTTGCTGGTCCTTGTGCTTTTCAGATCCCCTAAATTGAGAAGGCTCTTACTCTCTGGGCTCTGTCTTCCAAGGGGGATGAGAGTTAGGACAGATGAGCACTAGACAGTGACTGCTAACCTGGACCCATCAGCAGGATTAGCTGCTTTACTCCACTTATTTCCTGGGGGATTTGAACTTTTCTCGTGATGGCCTGTTTCATGGCCCTCCATGTTCAAAGACTCAATTCAAAGATGGGCATCTGAGATAAAATCGTACTTCTCAGGTAAAGGAATACAAATGACAAGTAAATATATGAAAAAATGTTCAACATCATTGGTCATTTGAGAAATGCAAATTAAAACAACTCAATGTAGCTAAATCATGGAAACAACGGAGATTCCATTTCACTCCAGAAAGAGTCAACCAGTAAATGCTGGCAGGGCTGTGGGGAAAAGGAATCTTTTCCACTGTTGGTGAGAATGAAGACTGGTACAACCATTGTGAAAGTCATTAAGGAGATTCCTCAAAAAACTAGGATTAAATGTCTCATTTGATCTAGCTATTCCCCTTCTGGGTATCTTACCAGAAGAGTTTAAAAAATCATACTACAGCAATACATGTGTACCTTTGTTTATAGCAACACAATTTACAACTGAAGAATGGATGAAATGGAGTACTACTCATCTATATAAAGGATAAATGTGAGGTTTTTATATATAAATGGATGCAGGCTGAAGTCATACTCTAGCTGGGAGTGGTGGTCATAGCTGGGAGTGGTGGCACACTCCTGTAATCCCAACACTCGGGCTGAGGCAAGAGGATCATTGTGGTGAGACCCTGCCTCAAAGACAAAAAATCATACTTATAAGTATGATATTAGACTTGCATATGCAAACGTCATATTGTCTCTCTAATGTAAGAATCTGAAAGAGATAAGACCCAAAATGTACAATAGTTATTGTGAAAGGGGAAGAAATTGCTCAAAAGGAAAAAAGGAAAGGAGAAAAGGAGGAGGCAAAAATATATTCATATATATGACTAAGATAATTACATTATTAATTGCTAATAGTTCATCAAAAACAATTGTTTTTTTTCATTCCAATATCTTGTAATCTGTGCACCTACTTTGAAGATAATAATATGCTGTATATTAAACAGTGTTAACCCTATATTAGCTTGTTTTGAAAAATAGCTTGATAAGATCCTCTGTGCTTGTTAACTCCTTTGTGATTTCCTGTGGTCTTTTTCCAATGCCAACAGGTGAAGAGTTTTACAATTGTCTGTTAACTCCGTTGCTTTGTATCAGTATAAAATGCATGAATCATACTGCCACAAATTCAGTTCTTTCCTTCATCTTAGGGGCTACTCCTGCATTAATCCATTTTTGAGTTGGTTGAATCTGCACTAATGTGATATGTTTCATTTTTAATTAGGATCAAATACTGTGAGGAATCCAATACAACCCCACTCTATTTTGGCAATTCACTTGTGAACTTTCGTTGAAAATTTCAGTGGACAAAACTTTTGGTTTATTGTATAAGATGGTTTTTTTTCCTTTTGTTTCTGAAAATATTCCCTCTCAATAATAATGTGATTGTAGATGGATTTCTTAGTATGGTTGTTAAACATAAATCTGAAATTGTGCCGTTTTATAGCAGTTTTCTTTTATGTAATCTGGAGTTGCTTACTTTTCTTTGTTTTTTATATGAAATATTTATATACTTCCTCATTCCTCTGCAGTGTATATTTTATGATCCCAAAAGAACAGATGCATTATTGAAACGTGGGCAGTTTTATTTTGCAAATAAAAATTGGATTTCAGCCATACATGATTTTACAACTTTGTTAAATATAGACCAGCAAAATTCTGAAGCGTGGTAAGAATTATTTTGATTATATTTTTTGAAATTTATGTTACTATTTGAAACATTTTTTTCAGAAAAGAATATTGCTTGAAATATACTTAACGGCCCTTTAAAAACAATTTTCAACACCACCAGTGAATGAAAATGTTACCTATACCCTAATGGTAAAGAAAATTCAATGTAACAGGTGTAAATGAAAAGTAAAAGTTATTTCATTTGCATTTCCTAAGTATTTGTTACATTATGCATTTCTAAAGCAGTAACACTTTTTTTCTTATAGTTATTGTTCATGCATATCCTTTGTGTCTATTGAGTACATAGAATTGCTCATATATATTTCCGTCACATCTTATTGTAATGTATGTATTCAAGTTCATTCTTCTAACCTTATTATGCATAGTGGGGTTTTTATTTTCTTGTTTTCCTTTTAATCTAAGTCTGTTTTGAAGAGAGTTAAAACAGGTATATGGTCATGACCACTTGTCTCTTCACTTGCAATTTTCAGCTGCACTTAAAGTAAAGCATGCATCCATAAAAACATGTAAAATAGAAATGTATAGCTTAGACATCACTGTGCAAATGCCCCCCTATAATCACTCCCAGGTGCCTTTTAAGAAAAGGAAGTATCTTGAAACCTAAGATACTTTATCCTTGGAGGGAAATATTTTTGGCAGTATTTCTTTAAAAAATATTTATTTTCTAATAAGTTAAACTTTCATATTTATTTTAATTATTTTTCACTACTAAAGGATATTAGTAATTATGTTTCCAATAGTAATTATAAATTATCATTTTACTTATATATGATTCTAATTTAAATTCTTATAGTATGGAGATTTTTAAATACTCTGAAAAGTTAATTTTTCACATAGACTCACTTTTACATGCTTTTTCATTTCCACTGCCTCATTACTTTATCCCTTATCAGCTCACACTTGCGATTTTTTATGACTTAACTCCTAGACCTGCAGTGGTAAGATTTGATTATCATATAATAAAGACCTTTTGTTTCAAAAATTTCCTTTCATTGACCCCCTGTTGCTAAGGAGATGAAGCTAAATTTTTCAGTATAGAAGAGACCCAGCACTATTTTAAATATCTTGAATTAACTTTCTTTTTTTCTCCAACCAATTTAATTAGTTCCCTCTACTAATACTCCTTTAGAGAAATAGAGAGCTATAGTACTTCAATAGAATTTTTTTCCAAGGTTTCAAAAAAATTTGTCCTCCCTGTAAAAATAATTAAATAAATTTAGTAAATGTATACTTGATGAGTATATAATTATGTAAACAACAAAGTATACCTTATTTAGAAAAAGTCCATATTTTGTTTTGCTATAAACATCATGGCTAAACTCTTACAAAACAAAGAGAAACGATCACAAATTGTTCTTGAAATGTAAAACTAGGTAAATAAATTTGACCAAAAGAAAGATGAATATTTTGTTGTATATATTAATGTGAGTTTTTCTGTTTTTCTAGGACGTACAGAGGGAAAGCATATTTTAAAAGGCACCTTTATAAACAAGCGACTCAAGACTTTTCTACTGCTATTCACTTAGATCCTAATAATTGGACAGCATTATATTATCGAGCTTGCATATTTAGAAAGTGTAATCCTCTTAGAGCACTACAGGATTATAGTGTTTCAGGTACTTTACTTTCAATTACACGTATTTAAGAATCTGGTGTAAGGTTGACAAGCTCAGATTCATAGTGGGGAATGTTAATGTAGTACCACTAGTATCATATATATGTTAGTGTATATGCATATGTAGATACTTGTATTAAATACACTTATTTAAATACACATTATGTCATATTTCTCTGTATTCTTGTAAGTCACAATGGTTAAGCTACATGTGTTCTTGTCTCTTTGTAGTGTGTGAGTGTGCATGCATACGTACTTTTTTTTACTTACCTGATAAATCGTAGATATGTTACATGATATTTTATGTAGTAATGTTAAAAACATGCATAAGGAATAGGAAGACTGTATACTAAAATATGGATAGAGTATGATTGTTTAGAAACCTGAATAAGATATATGCTTTTACTTTTTAGCTCTCATAAATGATGGCTATGAAAATCTTGATTGTTTTCTACATCGGGGCATAGTCTATACACATCTCAAACTTTGGTGGCTGGCAATTTGTGACTTTGAAACTGTTATTTCTCTAGAAAGGTATGTTTTCCTTTTCACACTGATTTTGCTTTGTGATTTTGCTTTTGTAAAAGTAAGAAAAATTTTGCTTTTGTGATTTTGCTTTTGTAAAAGTAAGAAAAATTTTGCTTTTGTGATTTTGCTTTTGTAAAAGTAAGAAAAATTTTGCTTTTGTAAAAGTAAGAAAAATTAAAAAAGAAAAAGAAAAAGCCTCCCTCCCATTATTAAAAGGTTATTTTAAAATGAGACAATTGTAAAGTTGTCCTAGAATTGTAATACCACTAAAAGTAAGATTTCAACTAACATAAATTGTTTATTTCAGGTGCTTTGGTTAATTTTAGAGGTTGAATGGATTTGGAAAGTTGTTTATGGGTAATAAAGGAGGGCTTTGAAGATACCTAGATTAGAGCCTTTAAAAGTTAAGTTACTGGAAAGCCTTCATTAGGTTTTAAAATAAAGATAAAATATCCTGCTTGGTATATCATTGCCATGCACAAAACACAACTCAGTGGAAAGAAAGCCTCTATTCTGAATTAACTTTGTTTTGTTTAGTAAAGCAGAAGAAAAAAATCAATACCATTGAATCCTTAGGTTCAGGAAGAAACAGTGAAAGTCAAACACATAAGAAAGCCAGCTGTAAAACACAGAATTTAATTAAAACAATACCCCTTCTTTCCAACGAAGCATTCATTAAGATGAAAGTTGTCAGAAAGAGTAACAAATCATGCTAATTTCATGCCAACCAGCAGACTGTTTACCTAGCTATCTATGGTAAACTTTAAAGCTGACCCAGGAAAGTCATGAAACAGTTTCATGATGACTGCAGTTCTTTTGGTCATTTTTTTTCTTTTTATCGGTACCGGGGATTGAACTCATGACCACCTGCTTGTAAGGGAGGTGCTTATGCCACTGAGCTAAATCCCCAGCCCCCTCTTTTGGTCATTTTTGAGGCAGGGTGGAAAAGAAGTGGTTCAGGTGCAAAGAGTCATTGGAAACTTTTGTGTGGTAGGAAATTTGATGTCTAGGAATCAGTCAGGGCTTCCATGAGTTTGGGCAATCGGATGTGTGGTTTCCTCATTTTGAAATAGAAAATATTGAAAAAGGTAATGTCTAAGGTCATTTCTGTATTGAAAGTTGTTTTATTCTAAGAGAGAAAAAAGACATTTATTTGATATAGAAAAGCAGCTGTGTAAATATCAATGTGGGGAGGACTTTTAACCCTGAGCCAATAAACCATAGAATTTTACTACTTTTCACTGTTAATCATGGCATAAAGCAAAGACTTCTGAGTTGAGGAAAACTAAACTTGTAATTCAAGTTAACTAAAGATTAAGTGAAGGAAGAGTAAAGCATTGCCAGGAATGGAGATTTCACCAAATCTGGCACAAACTCTACAATTATTAATTCCATACCAAAGACTTTATTAAAGGTTTTCATTATAAATAACCGCTATTAAAGATGTTTTTCTTTGTGCATATGATACTAGGGGTTGAATGAACCCAAGACCTTTTGCACTGAGCTACATTCCAACCCCTTTTAATTTTTATTTTGAGACAGGATCTTGCTAAGTTGCTAAATTTCCCAGGTCAAGTTTGAACTCAAGATTTTCCTGCCTCAGCCACTCAGACTAATGAGAATAAAAGCTTGCACTACCATGCTCAGCTGGGTGTTTATAATTTCAAGCAGAGGGTAATTAACAAAGTTATGTTTGCATTATTAAGATATTTAAAATACTTGGCTATATGTTGGTACATATATTTTATTAGGCTCATTCATGATTGCAGAACATCTGAAATAATTAAAAATGTCTAACAAGATTTTTCTTTCTCTTTTTAGAACTTATACTTTGGCTTATGTAAATATTGGCCTCATACATATGTTACACTTGGATAATTACACTGCAGCCATTTGGTACTTTTCTGAGGCTATTAAAATTGATCCTTTGTATATTCAGAGCTATATGTGTAGAGCAGAAGCTTATTATAAGGTATTTAAGGTTTGAGACTATTGAATTTTAAAAATGTTTTATTTCTCTAAATGTTTGTTAATTTTTAATACATTAAAGCAGTTTTTAGCTAAATATTGAGGCTAGTGGATTTTTAAGCAATAAGTGTTTAGCAGAGTGGTTAATTCTAGTTACTTTTTTTTTTTAAATTTTGTTTAAAAGGAAAAAGAGAAAAACACAAAACAAAACAAAGCAGTGTAAGGGTACACGTAATACAGAACTACAAAAAAAAAAAGTAAGAAATCACCTGTTAATAGATTACATATTATCATCTTAGAAATAGTTGCTCAAATCACAGTATCAAAGATTACAAAGTGGACATTCAAACAGTGAGACTGCAAACAGCTGTGTTCAATGATCCAAAAACATTAATATAGTCAGCTATTTAACACCCCTAAACACACTTGCTGTTATATCCGTTAGAGCTCTTTTTTTTTCCCCTCTCTTTTTTACAACAAAATTTACACATTTTGGATTTTATTACTCCTTAGTTCTTATTACTTTTTTGGGGGGGAGAGAATAAAGTCAAAAATGGCAAAACAAAGCTGTCAGTCAAAACCAAGGATAGACATAGCTCATGATGTAAAACAGAGTACAAGGTTATCAACAATGGTTATCAACGATGTCTCTTGTTTCCTTAAAAAGAATTGTCTATCTCATTAGATATTATAAAGTTGGATAAAACAGTAGAGAACTAGACCAATAAAACTTAGGCATTGTAAACATTACAGGACTTCCAAAGGAGACAATAGTCAAGCCAGAATGGGCATCTTAGTGAATCTTATTGCCTTCAAAGTAGTTGCCTGTACCCTCAATTCTAGTTACTTTCAAAGCCTCTATATGGAAAATATTTTACTTTTATTTTTAAAATAATATAGTACCTTCCTTTTCTTTATTACAGTAGCTATATTTATTGTAGATTTTATATTTATACAGATAAGAATAAATAATAAACTTTATGAAAATTAAAAAACTGCCCCTAATTCCATTTTCTACAGATCATTACTCCTAGCATTTTGGAATTTAGGGTTGTAATTTGTTGTATGTATAAGTGTGTACATATCGGTGAATGTATAGGTTTATAGCATGGTATATGTGTATAGAACAGTATTTTAGCTATTATTTCCTTTAAATTTCATTAAATGTTTACATATTATTTAAATGTTTAAAAATTATATTGTACCCTAATGTAATAAATTCAAGCAATTCAGTAAATAGTAAAGGTCCTCTCCAACTCCAACCAACTCTGACTTTCCAGAGATAACCACTGTAAACTCTCTTCTTCATCCTTCAATCAGATACCACTTTCCACCATTTCTAACTGCCATCTCCAAGACACTAATTTGTCACTAGCATTATGACAGTAGCCTCTAGACAACTTGTTTTTGCTCTTTACTATGTTGATGTTACTGCAAAATAGCAGCCAAAAGAGGGCCAAGCAAAACATGTCATATTATTTAACTTCTTTGCTCACAAACCTTGCATAGTTTTCCTTTTGTGCTTGGATTGAAAGCCAAAGTCTACAAAAGCCAAAGGCCTACAAGAGCCCATAGAAGGTGGCTATTGATTTTCTTTTTGTCCTTGCTTCTTAAAAATTCTCTGATATATTGATATGTCCATTGAGGATTGCCTGGATTCTCTGCTCTCTGCTGTCTACATTAGAGGGTCCGGTGGAATTGGAGTCCCGTTTTCAACTTCCAGATAATGGAGGTAGAAGATGAAGGAAAGCTTCAGTATTTTCCGCAGGGAAGGTTTGTTCTTGACCTCTATTGGGGAAGACGTGGATATTTATTGTGTATGGCTCGCTTGCTTAGCCTAATCCTGCAGCTCATGCCCTTTGAGGAAGCTGATGTTCCCTCCAGAACACTCACAGAAACCAAATAACTCACTCACAACCTGATAACAGTATGTAAGCGTATATGCTCACAAACTTGTTTCTGTTGAGAAAGGCAAAAATGTTCATACAATTAGATTGAATATGTTGTGGTGTATTCACGTTATGGAATATAATAGTCAATAAGAAGAATAAATAGAACTCTTCCAGCTGATGTGAAATTTCCATGAGATGTTTTTGGGTAAGAAAAGAGTGTCATTGTGTACAATATGATATAATGGAAACAACTCAATTAAAAATTAAAATCAAGCTTCGTGTATGTATATAGAAAAATACATTCTCTTATTGTGTGGGTTCAGTATCCACAGTGAATCTACTTTAAAGTTTCTTGGAGAAGCTCAACCCTGGAAGCTGTCCATTCAAAATAAGCCTTCACTTGTCCCACAGCAGGGTTTCTCAGCGCAGAGAAATGGCTGTGGGTAGCACAGGCACATCATTGCAACACGTGACTAGACAGTTTGTTAATTGCACCAACCTGAGCGAGGGCAGTTTAAGAAGGAACAGCCACAAGAAATTCTTAGATTTGTTTAAACGAGTCTCATAGTTTCCTTCTCTCCATTTTACTATTCCTGCAAACAGTTTGGGTTGTTTCTAGAGGTATGCTTTGTTCCTATGTACGAATTAATTTTGGGCATTCTCTTTTTTGCCTCAGGTGTCATTATAGATAGAGACGTGGCTGGTCGTCCTAGGTTAGCTTTTTGCGGGGAGTCTGTGTAGTGCTTCTTTGATAATATATGCAATGGTAGTTAATTCTGTGCTCAAATGTGTACAAATTCAGATTATATTTCTTTGATCAGAATCAAGAAATTAATGCTTATTTTTTATTCTATATTGATGTTCAACAGATCTCTTCTGGTACTATTTGTTTTATTTTATTTTACCCATTTATTTACTTAATTTTGGAGCAAGCTTGCTTTTCCTCCCTTATTTTTAAGTAGAATTGGCTTTAACTTTTTATTTTAATTTTTTGCATACTAACTTTGGAACGTAACTTTGTGAAGTTTGGTGAAACAGGTTTTACAGTTCAGAGACAAAAACTGAAAAGTTAAATGAAAATGAGAAACAATCTAGAATATGTGACAATTACATTAGTGTAAGATTACAAATGTGTGTAATGTGTAAATATTCTTCAAACTTAAAGATAAATAATTTTTTAAAAACCAAAAGCCTGTATCATAAACATTATTTTACTTCTTTATATACTTTGGTATTGATGATTCTTAAGAAAGTTATGCAAAATTTCTGTACTTTTACTTCTTTATTTCCTTTTGTATTGATGATTCTTATAAAGTCATGCAAAATTTGTGTAGTAGATGGTAAAGGCTAAACATCAAAAAAGAAACAACTGGCTTCATAAGAGCCTACGTTCTGTTTATCATTCCACAGTTGCATAAATGGAAAAGTGCAGTCAAAGAGTTAACTCGTGCTATTCATCTTCAGCCAGATGAAATTCAGTTATACATAATAAGGTATGAGCGTAGAAATTTTGAGTTCTGTTCAGGATAACTTAGCATCTGAGCATGCTGTTGGGACCTTTATTTCTCTCTTGATTCCTCCAGCCTGTTTATGTATATTTAACCTCCAGCAATGGTCATCCCCCAAACAGAAAGCCAGCTTTGTTAAGATTCAAGATAACTTATTATTTAAAATAACCAGGTCTTTCCTTTTGCTTTATCACACATCAAAACACAACTGCTTACCTTTTAAGGCTTTTTTTTTTTTTTTTTTTTTACATTTTACTAGTAGTTATATAGTTATCGCATGTCTGATGAGAGTAAGATAATGCATTTTGAACAGTTGCTTTGATTGTGTCCACTAAGGGAACAAACAACCCCTAGCTAATGCAGTGGGGGAAAAAAGACACATAGAATTGTGTTTCAAAAGAAAGCTTGTTAAAAATGAACTCTTTGCAAATAATCACTACCAAAAACATACTCTTTAAGGATTGATAAACTTTGGAAAATAAAATGGTACAGTGGTTTCTGATAAACAGTTGATCTGTGTTTGAACCACATTTTAGCAATAATTATGAATAATAATAATAATTCATAATTAAAAATATGTAAATATTATTTCCTTTTTAATGGCCCTTTATTGTTGACTAATTTCTCAGCAATAAACTGTAGCATTTTAAATACAGTTGAAAGAAAAGATTTGCTTATTTTCCTTTTAGCTTCATGTATCCTAAGTTGTTTCATCAAAGCTCCATGTTAATTTTCACATTGCTATAAAAGTCCCATAATTTTCAAACTTTTTAAGCATACATAAAATATGAATACATGTGTTATAATAATGAAATCTTAAGGAACTTATTAGGAGAAACTTTGCCTTAGAAAAATTATTTTATCTGCTTAGAATCAAACAACTATTATTTCTTCCAGAGGTCAATATCTTCTTATGATGAAATGTAATGATCTTGCAAAGTTTACTATTTATCAAGTAGCAGAAATGAACAAAGGTAAATACAATTAATGTAAAAGTATAGTTTTAACTTACTGTTTAAAGTTTTTATACTATATTTATGAATAATACGAAGGCTTGAGTGACAAATATTTTGAAACCTCAGTTTCACATATATGTAACTAATTGGTAAAATGATTCATAAGACATGAATTTTGTGAGAGGTTATTATAGGATTTACCAGACATACAATTTCACTGCTTTGGTTTGTAATTGGAATGTCTTCATGTTTTCTGGTAGAAAATAGATTTTGGTATAAAATGAATTTATTAATTCATATTATAAATAGATATTGAATTGTTTTACTTCTTTAAATAATTATTTTTTAAATGCTTGATATTTGGCAAAGGTATTGATAAACTCTTTTGTCCTTTTAGGTCTGATTGAATTGAGTCCAATACAACAAGCACACATTTATTTATTTTGTGAAAACCATGAAAAAGCCATTCAGGTCTTGGATGGGATGCCATGGAATAGGTCAGAGATGACCACGTTTACATTACTAGCAAAAGCCCAAATGAAGGCTAAGAAAATCAAGGTGAAAGATTCCTGAATAACTTTTGTCAAACCTACTAATGCAACTTATACATTGTACTTAGTATGATATTTAAATATTTTGTTACAAAACTACACTATTTACCAATGTTTATTTATTTATACCAGCATTTACTATACTGTTTACTTACTCATTCTGCTATTAAATAACCTTTGTATTCTTTTCTTTTTTTTTCAGTTTGCAATATAGCTCCTCTAAATACTATTTTTTATGTCTTTTGTTAATATAGGTCATTGATTTTCAGAAAATATTCCTAGCAGTGGAAATGCTAGAGTGTGAATATTTAACTTTTAAGAAAATGACACATTGTTCTATAGTGTTGTACCAACTTATTTTCTCACCTGTAGTATATGAGTGTTCCTGTTGCTTTGTTTCTTCTACTGTAAATGGTGTGCCAGACTTTATTTTTGCCAATTTAATGGATAAAACCGAATTTCTCACTGTGTTGTTAGTTCAGATTTCTCAGTTTGGATATGAAATTGAATGTCTTTATGCTTATGAGCCACTTATATTTCTGGTTCTATCAATTTCCTATATACCAGACACATTTTTTGTCTGCATTAATGACTTTAAATATTTTAAAAATTAAGATCTATATACTATGCCTTGACTGTCCTATGTGTCTTCACATAATTTGTGGCTTGTTATTAATTGTCTTTTTGTGTCTTTTGATGAACAGGGATTCTCAATTTTAATGCAGTTGACTATATATAGTTTTTGTTTTGTTATCTAAACTTTTTTAAAAATCATGTTTAAGAAGTTCTTCTCTGTGATAAGGTCAGTAAGATATTGTCCTGTATTTTCTTGGTTTATTTTTGTTTAAGGCTTTATCTAAAGGTGAGTTTTACAGATTAAAAAGATTTGAAAAATTAATTTTTTGCTAATACATAAAAGCATAACATTATGCATATTGGGGAAACCATGTAATGCTTTGACACATGTATACATTGTATGATGTTTAAATCAGGCTAAACATTTATTTCCTCAAACATTTGTTGTTTCTTCATGGTGAAAAGTTGCAAAAGCCTTTTTTTAGCTTTTTGAGATGTACAGGCTTTATTATTTATGTCACTCTGCTGTGCAATAGCACAGCAGAATTTCTTGTTCTTCTCTAACTGTAACTTAGTATCCATTGATCAACTTTCCCTCACATTTTCAGCTACACCTCTCTCTCCCCTCAGCCTTCAGGAACTACTCTTGTATTCCCAACTTTCAAGATACCAGTTATTTTAGATTCCATATATTCCATGTGCACATGTGTCACATATTCTTTATACATTCACTTGTTGATAGACACTTAGATAATTTCCAAAGATCCATTGTGTGAGCTGGCTGTGGAGACAGTCCGATGGCAGGGAAATGCTGTGGCCTGGAGAACCTCAGGGAACCTCTAGCTAGTGACCAGTAAGCACTCAATAAGTACCTCAGTCATGGAGCCCTAAAGAAATAAAATCTTCCCACAAAGGTGACTTGAAATAAGTGTCCTTACCTGAGTCTCCAGATGAACACACCACCATTTATCACCCCAGCCATGGCCTATGAGGCTCAAAGTAGAGGGCTCTGGGTCCTCTGCTGTACAGACTCCTGACCATGGAGACCATGAAATGATAAATGTGTGTTACTTCAAAGCACAGAATTTATGAATTTTTTTTCTCAGTAATAGAGAAGATACAGATTTTAGTAACCAGGAAGTAGTGGAGGGACATTCTAATAAATATCTAAAATGTGGCAGCAGCTCTGAAACCTAGCAGTGTGGCAGATGTTGGAAGATGTTTAAGGAGTCTGATGAGGAAGCTTAGATCGCCTCAGACAGACCTTAAGTAGATATCTGGTCTTTAATGATGCCACCACTGAGAACCCAGAAATGAATGAGGAACACATTATTGGAAACTGTAAGAAAATGGATTTTTTTTTAACATAGTGGTAGGAAGTATAGCAAAAATATTTCCTGCAGAAAACAGAACTAATAACCCAGGGTCTTGGATATGTAGTTAAGGTAATTTCCAAGGTAAGTGTTGATAGCACTACCAGGTTGAAACCTGAAAGGGGAGAGATTAAAACTACTAAATAAAATAAACCAGGACTTGGTGATAATTTTCAGCCTTTCTCACAGGTGGAAAATAGATGATAAAATTAAGATATCCACAGTTGCAAGGTGTGTTAGCACATACCTATAGTCCCAAAATTTAAGAGGCTGACGCAGAATTGCCTTGAGTTCCCAGCCTGAGCTATACAGCCAGACATAGAGAGATAGTCACTGTAAGAAAGTATGTTCTAGAGAAAAGGACAAGGTGCAAATGGATATCCATTTGCTAAAATCTCAGGAAGATCATAAAGCTCAAGTATTCAGGCACACTCTTCCCTTTTGAGAGACTAAGGGTAATATTTACAGATTTTAACCAAACCAGAGAACAGCTGAAATTGTGAGAGTGTTGTCTTCAGGCATCTCAGCAAGAGGTCAAAGTAGAAAAGGAATTTTCTTGCAAATAACAGTGGATGTAGCCTTTATTTGATGGGTAAAGTATTGCCTATGAAATACATGAAATGTCTCCAAAGTTTGTAAGGAAGTGATTTCTTCAGAAAACCAGTATGGAATAAAGGAGATAGAGGTCAGAAGTAAAGGCTGTGAGCCCTTCAAATTATACTAGCAGGAAAGAGATTAACAGAACAACTCAGCTACAAACATGTTCAACATTTTATGTAAAAAGAAGTGTGACCTAGAGGGCAAGACAGGCCCAAGGGACAGGACTGAGTCACAAAGAGTTATTCAGGTGCCTTGAAACATATTCAAGAGACTGGACATTTGCTCAAATTGATGTTAGAGATAGAGTGGACTAGGAATGCCTTTTAATCTCACTTATTTTCTATTTCAGCTTACTAGTACATATTTACAGTACACAGTGTTTTACATTCCTTGTGTGAAGGTGGTGCATGCATACAACACATTTTAATTTCTCTTTTTGACCTTTTTTGAATCAAAATCTCTGTGGATGTAATCTTATGCCTGTCTCACCATTGTATTTTGAGATTTTGCAGGGGTGATGAGTTGGGTCTTCAATTTTACAGGTTCATAGATGGAGAAGAATTATGCTCCAAGAATGGTACTTAGTAGATTTACTCAAAGGATTCCTCTATACTTGGACTTGATTTAAATGATGAGATTTCAGACTTGAGCTGAAGAAGTAGTGAGATGAGACTTGGAGACCTTGGAGTGGAGGAATGTATTTAGCATATGGCAGAGGTATGGAGCTGTTAGAGCCAGGGAGTGGACCATAGAAGACATACCTAAAATTACCCTCAAGTGAATCACACCCTGTATAATTTCCTTCCCCTTGAATATGGGCAAGACATAGGACCTGCATTGCCCAGTGTAACAGCAAAGTTAATGAGAGGCCACTGCTTTGATCGTGCTGCTACGACTTTCTCCTAGCAGACTGGAGAAAGAGTTTTGGCATGGCCTGGAAGGAGAAAACTGTATGTGTGACTGTCTTTGCAGAGGGTTCTGTGGTAGGGAACTGCAGTAGCCAACAGTTAGTAAGAAGATGATGCTCTTAGTTCTGAGAAATGAGCAGCAGTTTATTAAAGTCTCAAGGAAATGACCTTTGCCAGCAATATAAATGAGGTTGGAAGCTGTTTCCACCTTAGATAAGTCTCCAGAAGAGAATGCATTTCAACCCACACCAAAACCACTGTTTGTGGGACAGGGCAGAGGTCAGAGCTAAGCCATTCCTCACCTCTGGGCCTGTGGAAACTCTGAGATAATAGATGTGTCAAATTTGTGATAGTTGCAATAATGCAAAATGATTACACCTTGGTTTGAAATGAAGTACTCTTGTTTCATTGATGACATCCTCATTACAAATGCAGAGGTCATTTCTCATTATTTCATTGCTTATTTCCTGTCCATCATTGAAGCTGTTGATCTCTTAAACCTTTCAGAAAAACTTCTTTACAATTGTTTTTCCTCTCTCTGTCCCAGAGCTTGTTCCCATAGTTGGAAGTCTGGCATCTCTTTGACCCTCTTTAATCTCTCTCTCTCTCATTCTCTGTCTCTGTCTCTGTCTGTCTCTCTCTGTCTATCTCTCCATATGTATCTCTCTATATGTATGTATGTATGTATGTATCTATCTATCTATCTATCTATCTATCAATGCATATCTCCCTCTTCCATGTTTTTTTCCACAGCAGTCATGGTACTGTCCTCCAGATCTCCCTGAGAAGACTTTGTAGAGTAGCAAACAAAGGAGGAAAGAGATGGAAGAAAGAGGAGGAAATGAAGATGGATTCATTTTAACTTAAACAGGATGGAAGGCTGGAATAGATTCAAATCTTTGTGGACTCAAGAAAATAGTGAAGGGCCAGAGCTCCAAAAGCAGAAAGAGAAATAAATTGTGATCATATGAGACAGATATGTTGGGGGTCAAGGAGTGACCTCTGAAAAAAAGAAAGAAGGACGTGCAAAAGTAACAGATAAAAATGTGAAAATGAATGAAGACATTGACATAGTGAAAAGTAAACAGAAGAAAAATTGAGAAGGAAGCTAATCCAGTTTTCAGTGACAAGATCATGTGCAGACAGTGAGGGCAAAAGGATAGGTGGTGAGGTGATTGTAAACATACAGTGAATACTAAAGGAAAGTAGCAGAGACATCTAGCATGCCCCAGTTAAAGCTCATGGTTTCACCAGCAAGTTAATACAGTTATGAAAATGGCATAACAAGTAACTTGTGTATTTTGGTAAACATATGTATGATGGCTCATTAGCTATTAAGTGACACATAAATTGAAGTGTGACTTAAGTAAATACCCTTTAGAACTTAGGACTTTTGTCTCCAAAGATCCAAGTGTGTGAGACTGGTTAAGTTTCAGTTGATAGGTGAGGCCCTGGGTGAGACTTGCTGAGGTCATACTGTGGAACTGAATCTTCTTCTTACAGTGTACAGACAAGATCTACGATCTTCCCAGATTCGTGTGCACTTGTGTGACCCGAGTGTACTACTGCTGTGTTGAACATTTAAAGCTGTCATGTTAAATAAATATTAAGAAAAAGAAACATGCTCTCCCTCTCTCTTCTTCTTATTATAGGAAGCTGTGAAAATTTTTAAAAAGATCTTAGATTTCTTTGCGAATTTTGACAGAGGACCAAATGCCGTAGCTATCACAGCAGACTGTCTGCATAATTTAGGTCTTTGTTACATGGAAGAAGGCAACTGGCAAACGGTATTTTAAATCTTGAGAAGTATAGCTTACTTGTGATTTTAGAAATTGGTTATTTGCTTTCAGTTTTTTTCTGCAGTATACTTATAGAGTCCAAAGTAGATGAAGCTATTTATGAAGTGTGGCTTAATATAGTCTATTCACACCTGAAATTCCCACGGATTATTTTATGTAGTAACTCCATTTTATTTGATATTAGCTTGTCAGCAGTGTTCTAAAGACTAATATGTGTTTTCCACTGAAGCAAAAAAAATCAAACTGTAGGAAATTGTGTATCAAAATAATTTCATCACATGAATGTAACAATTAAAAGGAAAGTAGTTTAAAATGAGTGGATGATGTTTTGTAGCAAAAATGGGAAATGATTAGAACTCTCTGCTTTTCCAGGTGATTGAACTATTCCAATAAAAATTCAAATTGGTTTTTAAAATGACCAGATTCATTGAAAACCAGTATATTCAATTATGCATTTATCCAGTATTAGACTATTTTACGCACTTTAGAATTGTCACTGGTATGATAAATATGTAGAATAACTGATATTATCCAATGACTAGTGTTACATATCACACACATACACACACAGCACACACCGCATGGAGTACACAGTATTATAAAAGTGGATTTTCATAACTTAGAAAAAGAATTGCCTTGATTAATTGTTCACTGAGAAATTATAGTAACTATCACATTAATTACAGCCTTTTCCATATTTTTAGTCTTTTTGGACAACCAGAGTAAATTGATCTATGGTATTATAATATTGGGGAAAATTTGGGGGTTTTGTTGCTATAAAATTTCATGACTGTATCTGTTATGGTTTTTGAATTATCAGTGGAAATAAATGTTCCTGATTGTGACTGCTTTTAAGAAATGAAATTCGAAGAATAGTGGTTAAAATTACACCCAAGGGGATTGTAATCTTGTAAAACGGATTATGCAGACTTAGTCTGGAAATAAGGGAGTCTTTAGTCATAATAATTACCCTGGTTTGTAGATAAATATTATTTTTGTTTGCCTCACAAGGTTCATTAGGAGAATAGAGTGAAATGTTTGAATAATAGTTACGTGATTATAATTTATTAACCTTTTAAAATAATATATTCTGTCACTAAGTAGTGTGCTTTAACTACTTGCTCTTTTAGGCTTTTGATTATTTTACAAAAGCTGTGAAAGCAAATCCGGAATTAGCAGAAGGCTTCTATCAACGAGGGCTTTGTAAGGTGAAACTCCAGAAGGATAACTCGATTCTAGATTTTAATCGTGCAATTGCTCTGAATCCAAAACATTTCCAGGTATTTTAATTTGAATGATGTTAGTGATTCAGTGAGTGTGTTGATTTTGGTACAATTATTAGATCTTTTATATGCTATTGCCATTTGCTAGCTATCATTGCTACTAACAATTACTACTGTTTTTGAACTAACTATATTTCTATAATCCAGAACCTGTATTCTCCTTAAAGTCGTTATTTTCAATAAAAATATATGCTTATAAATGTGCTTTATGAATTGTGATTTTGTGTAGATGTTGTTAATGTATGAATTTAGCTATTAATTTTAATTTATTTAGTTAATTTTATTTGTATGTCATTTTGATATCATATTGATTTCTGACTTTTAATAGACTATAGGCACAGAATAAACTTTAGTAAGTAAATCTTGACGATCTTGATTTTAAAATTGTATGATGTTTGAATTGATTAAATTTTGGGTAATTTTAAGGAATTATATAAATCTTCTTATGTAATACTAATGTGGTTATATAAGGTAAGGTCTTTTTTAATGGAAGATGTACACTGGAGCCAGTAAAGTGAACAACTATGTACAAGTGTTTTCTAATACTTCAGGAAAAAAATAGATAACACAAATATGGCAAGTAAAATGTTACTAACTAGGAAATCCAGTAGCAGATATATGAGTGTTACACTATTTTTCATCTTGTATGTTTGAAATTTCTCTAATAATAGAGAATGGGGGAAAATATTATATTTTAATATCATTTTGGTTTGCATAAATTTGTTCAATGTTCTGTAAATTTTGATAGAACCGATGATGTTACTAAAAGGTCTATTCCTGACTTCTGTTTTTCTAAAAAGGCATATTTAAGCAGAGTAGCCTTCTATGGCTTAAAAGGCAGATACTCGAAAGCAATTTTGAATTGTAACGAGGCCATCAAAATTTACCCTCAGAGTGTGCGTGCCTACCTCTACAGAGGAGTTCTGAAATACTACAACAAGGTAGGCCATGGCCTTCTGCTTTACTGGACTTGTAGAGAGGTGGAGTCTCTGGATACTAAATAAGAATTCACATTTTTTTCTCTTTTTTTCTGTGTTAGGAGAATCACGGTGATTTGAAGCTCTCTACATAGAATAGTTTTCTACAATGTATCAAAGCAGATTTCAACATGTGATTTTTCACAAAATAGTGATTTTTTACTTTTATATTTTAAATAATGTTAAAAAAAAACCATACTTAGTCCATTGTAGATAATTTTAAAATATAGACAGGAATAAAGGATAATTGTTACTATCAAATTATAATTTTGGGATATTTAAATTTAATTTTAAAAAATTTCCTGGTAATATATGAACTATTCTACTTATATAATTCACCTTGTGCTCTGCTTTTTTATTTAATCTTTGAAGATACCATTTTTATGATGGCATAATATTATATCATTTATTTTAAATGTTTGATTGCTGGAAATTGAGATGTTCTAAATTTTTTAATATTTCATTATTTTAAGTAATGCAATACAGTAATACATGATTGAAAACAAATCACTGCTAGAAGGGAATTGCTTCTAATTTTTATAATTTTTGCCAGCATTTATAATTATTGCCAATTCTAATAAGGGAATTGCCTATGATTGGTTTGGTTCCTAAGCGAAAGTTAAGGGGGGGGACCAAGTACCACTGGTATCTGGTGCTGCATGGAATGCTTTGTTTTTCCCTACTTTTCTTTTTTGACTTTTCTTTGTAGCTATTTCATATGGAAACATTTTGCAAATAACTCTGTAAAGCAAAGATAAGTCCTTGTATTACACATTAATTCCATGAAAATTACTATCTATAGAAAAGGTGATATAAGGTATCAGAGAATGATCAGTGAGGAAACAAAAGAGAATGTAGTAGAAAACATGATGACAGTGTGATGTGACAACATGAGTGACAGATAGAAGCAAGCTCTGGATTAATATGGGCTGATTCTTTCCTAGCAATCAGTATAATTTTCTGCATGTCCCATAGCACCGGTGATAAAATAATTGACTAGAGTTGTTGATATATTTGATATCATTTGTAGGTGAAAAATTCTATCAGGAAATCTTAACTGTGGAAGATTAACCTGATTGTCTTAAATTCACAGATGATATTCAAAATGGTTAAATGAGTATGCCCAAACTATGTAGAATCAACATTTTATTATACAATTATATTTTGGTTTGTTATGATTTATCTTTCTCACTTAGTTATCTTTTTCTTTGTAGAATTACAAACTAGCTATTAGAGATTTAACTACAGCTATCAACATGGACAAAAACTGTTATGTGGCATTTTATAACAGAGCATTATGTTACACCAAGATAAGGGAACTTCAAATGGTAAGATGATTATTTTAATAAACAAATTTAAAGTGTTTAAAAATAACACACATTCAGTGGCTTTTTGAACTCAAAAAACAATCAATGCAAACATTTAGTAAACAACATATTAAAGCATTTGCAAATGCTTTTAAAGTACCTAAAAGTATTTTGTTTTATTTCCCTTATAATTTAGAAAAAGTAATTCCTTATGGAAATGCATTCACATAAATCTTGAGAAACCAAATAACCATTTCAAGACATATTTAGTTAGTGTTCGCCATGTTTTCTTATATAACTTCTGTAATAAATCAAATGAAAAATTAATTTGATAATTTTTTTGTATTTTGAGGGACCAGTTATCACTGCAGTGAACATTTTTCTCCATTTAGCTTCATCTGTTACTTATTTGTGAAAGCTCTTGTGTATATTTTTCTAAGCTCAACCCAGTTTTCTCACCCATTGTCTTTAGGGTCATTTTACAATGAGAATTCCTCTTTGCAAATTGCCTGGTCTGTAGACCTAGTGTTCTGTCTTCTGAGTTTCTTACTTTTCTGTTATCCAGTGGTTTCTCTGCTCCTCATTTCTGCTCCTTCCATGGAAAATGAGGCATTCCTTTAAAAAAGTTCCTTGCATTCCCATTGTTCCATGTAAATACTCTCTACCCCTCTCTGTGAAACTTAGTTAAATCTGTTTAAACATTTAGCAATTTTGACATTTACAAACTTTGTAGGGAAGAAGCTGAGGAACATAATTTCTACCTAAAAGGCTGCAAAATTCCTGGTAACTAGAACATTGAGATTTTCTCCAGAAATGTTAACAAGTAAATAACTAAGTTTTCTAATAAGGGAATTGTTAAGATTCAATGAGCTAATTAAGAGGTCATTTTTCAGTGACCTGCTCAGCAGGTATTTTTTTATGGACCCTCTCCACCCCAATTCCGGTAGGGACGAAAATCCTGAAGCTCAAAACAATGATTGGATGGGGAAGTCATCCTCACAATTTTGTCACTCAGATATATAAAAGAGTCAACTCCTTGTTAATAAAGAAAACTCAGAACTGCCTGAAAAAAATGAGATGAGATTTGAATAATAAAATATTGATGACTATAGAGCTGTTAGGATCCCCAAATATTTAATCTCATTTTACAAACAGGGAAGTGGCAGCAGGGAGAGGTCAGTAAACTCTTCCAAGTCACACAGGGAGTTAGAGACCCATACTGAGTTCACAGATTTGTTTGCTTCTGAGTTAACAGTATTTAGGTAGCTTTGTAAAATCATCTGCCCCCAGCATATGGGACAGGTATCATTTACAGTATCACTGTCTCCTTTTTTGCCTACCTCTACCTGTTTCTTAGCATTCTTGCCTTCCTTAGGCTGAGAAAAATCAAGTGTCTTTAAAAAATAAAATACACTTTAATGTTCTCCCACATATGATTTCTAAAAAAATTCTAAATAAAAATAAATTCTGATTCTTCAGTTCTATATAGGTAAAAATCAGTAACAGTTATTACTTATTTAGAGTGTATTGTAAGCACTGGACTAGATGTTTTAGCAACATAGCCTAAAATATTTCTAAGTGGATTCTTACAAAAATATATTGAATTTTTAGCATGTTACTTTCACAGATGAGTTAAATGAGGTTTAGGGTTAAGTCATTTTCCCCAAACTGAGAAGCTGGTAATGAGGATGTCACACATCCAGGTAAGATCATTCATCTTCTTAAAACCTTTTCTTGCCCCTCTAATTGACTTGCATAAAATTTCATGTCCTAGCATTAGTTTCTTATTATGCCATGTATTCAGCTGCTTACTGAAATTGAAGATACTCTACAGGTTTTACCGTCTGTGATTCTGTGAAAAGAAATATCACACAATTTGAGGCTCATATTCTAGATTTTAAACAAGTAATATGGATCTTCTATACAGCTCTGACAGTATTTATAATTATTGCCAATGTACACATAAAGGATCTTCAACTTCACAATACAGCATTTTGAGATACTTGCATACCTATAACACAAGAGGAAAGAAAATGAGCAAAAAAGTGAAATATTATTTATTTTCCATTTTCAGCTAGCAGGTGCTGCAGGTGTATAAGACTTGATTCTTTTCTGATCAAACCATATGGCCCTTTTGGACACCCTAATCCCTAGGAAGATAATTTCAGAGATTAAACTCCAGTCCAGATTTAGAATGCTTCCTGTATATGTTGAACAGAGTACAAGCCAACAAAACTTTGTTTAGTGGATGGGAAAAAGAAAAAGATAAAGATAAAGGAGGTCTTCTCAGTGGATTCTCAGCCTAGACTACTGTCTTTAGAAAACAAAGATTGTACATATCAAAATATGTTGAAATAATTTTCATACAAGTGCTTATTTCTTAGTTTTATTAAAGTAGATTTTCAATGACCCATGATTTATTCATTTGAAAAAACCTGCCTATTATTTTCAGTGATAAAGCTTGTTATGGAGTTTACAGTGATGAACAAAATAGATAAGCATGGCTCCATAGAGCTTAGAGTTTGGTGAAGAAAGCAATAAAACAATAAAAAGAAATTAAATGGTAAACAGTACTCAGTGCTCTGCTTTAATACCCACTGTTGCATGGTGAAACTGCTGAGTGGGGAACAGGTGTTGAATCCCTGCTTTTCAATTCACCCACACATGAGCAAGCATAGGGTGACTCACAAGGGGTTCATGATCTGCAAGCCTAGTGGACACCACTTACTAAGGAATAGCAGTATCCTTTCAAATCTTATGCATGATCATTTTGCTTCCAAATTATAAGTCAAGTTAAAGAACTAACTCAGTTTATGGCCAGTACCATAAAGCTTTAAAAGGTTGTATGCATGTTGTAAGTGATTATTATACTTTTAGGCATTAATAGATTTTGGAATTGTGCTGCTCCTTGATGCCGGAGAAACTATAACATTAAATACCTTCATTAATCGTGGACTCATCTATATTGAACTTGAGCAGTACGGCTTTGCATTAGAGGTGAGCCTTTCTTGTCACTATGTAAGAATGAGCCCACTAGATTTTTTCACTCTCTTTTGAAAACTTCTCTGAACAAGTTTTTTTTTTACTACCAAATAACAATACTATTGAGTGATAACTTTAGCAAGAATTATATCGAAATACTTCCAATGTAATAAAGCCTGTGAAAAAATGTGTGTACTTTAACTACAGATAAGTAGTCAACACATAAAAAGAATTCTAATTTGATGAAAGATATCACCTTCCAAAGAAATAAATACAAAACTCACTTGTTTGGTAAGTGATTTGTATATCATTCACTCTGCTGGTTGGTACTGTTTCTCCACTGAAAATATATAAAAATAATTTTTTTTCCAAAAGGCAGGAAATAGGTACTAAGTGGTCTCTGGGGACAGGGCTGAAGTTTAGGAAGAGGCATTCAGAATAATAATAGGTATAAGAATGTGTAGAATGTTGAAAAAACAAACAGTTTGGAGTTTCTGAATAAAAGAAACAAAATTCATTATTTCCATTTTAAATTAATTGTAATTACTTAGTCTATAGTAATTTTGGATATAAAATCTAGAAACAAGGCAAAAATAGCAATTTGAGATTTGCAATTTAGTCATAGCAGTTTTGCATCTTTAGTTCTGAGAAACAGCAATGTAACTTCATGTAGTAGAGCATTCATTTACTATTCTTTCTATCTTCCAATCCAGCTTATATGGTTTTTTCAACATCTTGAGTCATCTTTTGAGATTCTATCCAACAAAATCATTTTTTAAAAAATATATATTTTTTTATTTAAAGAAAGACTAAACAAAACAGTAAATGGGTAGATATAATACACACTTTCAAAGAAAAAGTAAAAAAAATAAACTAATAAATCACTAGTTGATGTTTACATATTGTCCTCTTACAAATAATTGTTCAAGATACAAGAGTGGAACATATAAGTGGGAATTCAAACAGCGAGATTGCAAATATTTCTATTCAACTATCTAACAAAAATACTTTTAATAATACCTCCTGCTGTCTTATTTAAGACTATTTCTCCCCTTTTGCTCTCCCAGGGAATACTGTGCATTTTTGGGTCTCACCAACAATGGGGGGGGCAACCTAAGTAGTTCCAACCTTCTCCCTCCTGCACTTGATCTCTAGTTGTATTCCTTTACCTATTAAAGCCTGTCTTTCCCACCTATCCTCAAATACTAGTCTAGTTGCCCCTATTACTCTCTGGTTCCCTGTTACATAGAGCATTGTTTTCTCATATTTGAGTTTCAGTTCATATATCCATTTTCAGGTTAATTATATTTCCTAGAAAGAGCATCTTGGTGGACCCTACTTCCTGATCTACTCTGCCTGTGACTCTCTCTCTTTTTTAAAATTTTGTATATCAAGGCCATCTATTAGAGATTATAGCCAATCTTCTCTGCCTCATTTCTGTTGTGCTCTTTTTCCATCATTTATTGTCTGTTTGTCCTCTTCATTTTTCTTTTTGCTCCATTCATTGAGGCCTCTCTGCCACCATTCCTGGGATCCTGGTACTTTTCCCTCTCTTTAGAATGTCCTGCAGTATTCTTTGTAGTGTTGGATTGGCGGTCACAAATTCCCCCAGTTCCTCTTTGTCTTGTTTCTTTGTCAAGCATCTTGTTTCTCCAATAATTTCTAGAGATAGTTTAGCAGGGTACATCAATCTGGGGTGGAAGTTATTTTCTTTCAGGACTTGGAAAACTTCACTCCAGGCATGTATTGATTTGATGGTTTGTGTTGAGAAGTCTGTCGTAATTATGATGGGCTTTCCCTTATAAGTAGTCTGTTTCTTGTCTCTGACAACTTTTAATATTCTGTTCTTATATTGGATTTCTGGGATCTTGATTATTATATGCGTGGGTATAGTTCTGTTTTGGTTGTAGGTGGCTGGAGTTCTGTATGCCTCATACATCTGAATATCATTTCCTTTTCCTATGCTTGGGAAGTTTTCCTTAATTATTTCTGTGAATATCCTTTGTAGTTCCTTTGTTTATACCCCTGCTCCTTCATTCACATTCTTTATTCTTAAGTTATAGATCCTCTTGTCGTCTTCTAGCCTTTGTATTGTTACTGCTCTGTTATCTTGTTGCAAACCTGTCCTCCAGTTTGGATAATCTATCCTTAGTTTCTTTCAAGCAGTTTTGCCAGATTTCAATGGAGTTTTTACTTTCCTGATAATCTCTTTGAAACTGCTTCATGTACTCTATGTTTTCTTTATATTCTTCATCAAACAATTCTCTCCTCTTTTTTGTTCCTCCATTCTTCCATCTGTGTCTTCTTGATAGGTGCTTAGCATTTCTTTTATTAATCTATTTAAATCTTGCTTTACTTGGTTAAATATTTCACTTTTGAAGTCATCTGTGAGGTCCCGAATCTCTTTATGTCCACTGGTGCTGTGCCTGATGTATGTCTGCTGTCTTCAGTCTCCTTTGTATTTACCTTTCCCGAATTAATCTTTTCAGGATTGGGAGCTGGGGATTTTCTCTTGTTGTTTCCTCTTCTCATATTGTTTGTTTCTTCCATGCAGGTGTATATAGAAGGCCCCAGTTTCTTTCTTTGTTGGTTTTAATTCTTCTTCTCAAGCATGCTGGCTAGATGGTCCTGCCCACTGCAGGGTGCTATCGAGATGCAAACAGAGGTAGGGTATGCTGGCCCCTCCCCACCGGGTCAGTCAACCTGCTGAGGCCTTTCCTGCTTAGTGTACACTGCTGGCATAGGGAATTGGTTTGGGCTAACCTATTGGATCTCGGGCAGGGGCGTGACACAGGCCCAGCGCTCCCCAGCAATCGTGTTTGAGAAGGGAGCAATTGACTGAAGTCACTGCTGCTTCTTGTTCGCGCCAGTCTGCCCAGCCCCAGAATGTCATCTGTTGCAACCCCTTTTTCTGTGGAGTGGTTTTATTCCCTTACTCACCACAGGTCAATGCAGGTTACCTGCCAGCTCAGCTCTCCGTTTGGCTCGCTGACCTACAACTTTAATGTGACTGCATTTCCAGTGGTTCCAAGCAGCGGGATTTTGGGTGGCTCTGTAAGGTGTGGAGGGACTGCTCCAGTACCGGTGCTGCAGCAGGGGCACTGAGCCTTTAGGTCTTCCCAATAGTAGCACTAGGACTGTATGTTTGATTGGTTCTTCTCATCTTAGTTTCTTTCTGGATTGAGAATATTCATGTCCCTCTGTTCAGGACTCCCCATGCTGTGTTATTTTGAAATCTAAGTTGACTATCTCAGGGAGCCTCTGTAGCCTGCTGTTATCTATCCACCATCTTTACTGGAACCAACAAAATCATTTTCTAGGCAATTTACACTATTATGAAATGTAATCTCAGCATTTGAATTCCTTTAGACTTGATATATGATTGATATATATATATATATATATATATATATATATATATATGTTGTAGATAAGAAAATTATGGAAATTTGGGTAATACAACTGGAGAAAGAGAAAAATAGAAGCAGGATGCAAATAAGGCCAGCTGTTAGGGACTTAAACACACACCCTGTTTTACCTACCAACTAAATATATGTTTAGCACTAAATGGCAACATGAACTTTATTGCACAATTGATACATAACCAAGTTCAACAACTTATAGGTAATGTAACTGGTGTGTAAAAGAGGTTACATAAGATGTTTTATCTAGAAAGTGCCAGTCAAAATCTGAATTGGGCTTCACTTGATTTCAGATGCTCTGCGTTCTTCCAGTTAACTGACCAGAACTGAAGATACCCAAATAAACAAAGCAGAGATGTAGTCTTTTGGAGTTGATGGTCTAGAGAGAATCATTTTTGTTTTAATATTGAAGAGCATAAAACCATGTGAAATAAAATAGAATAGAGTCAATCAAAACAAAACAATGAACATGATACAGGACTTCAAAACAAGATGAGAGGAAATCAACAGTGGCTACCATAATGCCTCTTGTTATCTTCAAAGTAACTGCCTATACCATCAGAAATAATAAAATCAAACAAAGCAAAATAGAATAAAATCAATCAAAACAAAACAATGAAAGCAATACAGGCTCAAAACAAGATAATAATGGCTACCATATATATTTTGTTATCTTTCAAATAGCTGCCTATGCCGTCAAATATGGTAAAATCAAACAAAACCAAACAGAATGAAACCAGACTAAGCAGAATAATGAAGACAATACAGGGTTTCAATACATGATAAGAGATTAACAATGGCCATTGTCTTTCCATTTTTAGACATTTCCTCTCACTTTCACAATATCTAATGTGCATTTTGGATCTTATTAACCTCTTTAAGTTTTTTTTATACTAGGGATGTTCACTTATGTAACTAAACCACTTCATCCATGCATATGATCTCAAGTTGTATCCATTTACCTACAAAATCCTCAAGGTTATCTTTCTTTACATCCAAATAGCTTTCCATTCTATAAAAATACCATATCTTTCTTATCCATTCTGTATTTGATGAACAAGCTACCCTGACTTTTTTCTAATTCCCTGTCAAATAGAGCACTGTTTTTTCTCCTTTGACTTTCAGTCTATGAATTTTCTTTCATGTTAAGTGTGTTTCTTGTATAAAGTGTATTGATGGATCCTGTCCGTAGATCTACTCTTGCCTATATTTCTTTTTGTTGGTGTATTGAGGCCATCTATGTTAATGATTATGGTCAACATACACTGGCTTGTCTCTGCCATGCTATTTTCTTGCCATTGGCTCCCTACTTTTACCCTACATTCGATTGTCTGCCCCCTTGGTGATCCCCCTGTGCTGCCATTCCTGGAACTGTGGTCATTTTTATCTCTCTCTTGAATGTGCTCCAATAATCTCTGTAGGGATGGTTTGTGGTCATGAATTCCCTCAGTTGTTCTTTGTCATGAAAGTATCTTCTTTCTCCATTAATTTTGAAAGGTAGTTTTGCAGGGTACATCAATATGAGTTAGAAGTTGTTTTGTTTCAGAACTTGAAATACTTCAAACTCTTCTTTTTTATTTTTTATTTTAAAGAGAGTAAAACTAAATATAACAAAGCAGATCAGAAGACAACAATGTAAGTGACACAGATTTCAAAGCAAGACAACAGGAGATTTACAGTGTCTACCATAATGACTCTTGTTTCCTTCTAAATAGTTGTCTATGTCTTTACACACAATGAATTCATGCAAAGCAAAATAGTATAAAACTGATCAGAACAGAGTAATGAAGGTATTATAGGCCATCAAAACCAGACAATAGGAAAATCAACAATGGCTGCCATAATGTCTCTTGTTCTCTTCAAAATAGCAGTCCATACCTTTATGTATGTTGAAATTAAACAGTGCAAAACAGACTAAAAGCACTCTGAACAAATAACAAAAGCATTACTGGATTTTATAGCATGATGATACAAAGTCAGCAATGGATACTATAATGTCTGTTTTTCTTCAAAGTAGCTGTTCATTTCAATACGCGTAATATAATTGATTCTCATTAACTGTCCAAACTCTTTTTGACTTGATGATTTGTGATGAGAAGTCTGTCATGATTCTGATTAGTTTTTCTTTATAGGTGTCTGTTTCTTTTCTCTAATACATTTTAATATTCTATTCTTGTGCTAAATTTCTGGGATCTTGATTATTATATGTCTGGGTATAGACTTATTTTAGTTATGGCTAGCTGCAGTCCTATATTCCTCCCTTATCTGTATGTCACATCCTTTTCCCATGCTTGGAAAGTTTTCTGCCATTACTTCTGTAAATAGAATTTTTATGTCATTTGTGTTGATTCCTGCTTTTCACTAATACTTATTATTCTTAAATTATTTTTCTTTATGTTGTCTTACAGCTGTTGAATTGTTATTTTCTGATTCCTTGTTATTTTAAAGAGATTTTTCCTTTTATGATCACTAGTTGCAAATCTGTCTTCAAGGTCTGAAAGTCTATCTTCAGCTTTTTTCAAGTGGTTTTGCCATCTTTCAATTTTTCCACAGTGTGACTCTTTGATTCTCCAGGTCAGTGCTGGCTACAGGTATCTGATGGTAAGTTAATGTGCTTCTGGCTGCTGCTTTTCCCAGCCTGTGCTGGCTAGTGGCAGCAGAAAGCATCCCAGATGGCTGTTGGTGTGCTCATAGGGGCAGGGCTGACCACTGCCTCCTGGACTGAGCTGGTGACCTGCTGGAAGCATCCCAGATGGTGGCTGGTGTGTGCATGGAGGTGGGGCTGGCTGCTGCCTCGTGAGAATATTCTTGACCCTGTCTTTCCTCACACCCAACATCTAGCCAACTAGCAAGTCAAGTCAGCTCTACAATTAAAGCATATGTTGAATTAAATCAATTCTCATAACTGTGACCACCATCATCTTCTCAACCAAGAAATACTAGGCCAATTCTAAACCTAGATCTCTGAGTGGAGTCCATGAGTTTGGAACATTGCAGTAGTTTTCCAACTTCTCTTTCTGCTTCTGCTCTTGTCTTTCTTCATGCTACCAAACATAAAGCAGGTCAAGTTATACCTCTGCTCAAAACTGCCAGTGTTTCCCATCATAATAAGGCTTAAACAACCATGACCAACCCAGATCTGTGTGATCTGACTGCTGCTCAGTTCTCTGATGTCACTGCACTCTTTCTTTTCCCCTCCCTACTTACTCTGCTGTGCACAGACCAGCCTTTTGCTGCCCCATAGAAATGCCAGACTCCCTTCCTGCCTTCCCACAGGCCCTTCCCTACGCATACCACACTCTGCTTACTCATCTGTGTGTGGTTCACAGCCTCATCTCACTAAGGTGTCTTCTCAATGTGACTTCTTCAGTGAAAAATAAAGTAGACAAATTAAAATAGAATAAACATTAAAAGAACCCAAAATAAATCTGGGAAGCATAAACAGAGAAACGGAAGCCAGCAGAAAACAAATAGTGAGATATCCAGGTACAATTGTATAAATAGTTATCTTAAATGGGGAATGGTCAAAAGACACCAAATATATAATGAGAATATTGGATAAGAAATTTAAAAAGTAACCAGTGTATTTTGGTCATAAGAAATATACTTTAAACATTATGACATATATAAATAAAAATGAAAGGCGAGGAGACACACCATGAAAACACAAGTAGCAGCCAGAAAGACATTTTTTGTTTATGTAAAGTAAAATAATTACAACTCAAAAATGATGTAGGCAGAGAAAGAAATAATGAAGGATGTAAGACAGAATAATAAGAGGTCAAGATGAAAAAGTAAAATCTTATATCACACCCAGCAAAAAATAATTTTGTGGGAGGAATTAATGGATAAGTCCATTCCTTTTAAGTGCTGAAAATATAGCAATTAACTGATAGCTCGATGACCTTTGCAAACACTAATCAGGAAGCATTTGAACAGCAATTGTTTGAGAAGTTAATGGTTAAGTGTGTCAGATTGAGAACATTGGTTTATCTCCTTTTCTTCTTAAAAATTTACCTTGATAAGAGTAAACTAATAAAAAAGATTTAATTCCACAAGTTTAAAGATAGTGGAGAAGCAGTGTTTAAGAGCTCCAAATCACCATTCTGAATTTTACTGTCCTAAATTTACATTTGAACAGGAAGCCAAGGATTAGATACTTAAGGGAAGTAAATTGATTCACAAAGTTGTCATAGAAGTATGGGAGAAGGGGAGTGTGTGGAATGGTGCTGTTAGTTAAATTCTGTTCTATGCAGTAAGTAAACAGTTGTGAAGTTGCTATATTATACATTACTCGTGGTACTTAGACTTTTGAAAGTAAATGCCTGCAGAAATGACAGTAAACTGGAAAACAATTGATTTTTGGGAAGTGGAGTTTAGATGTAAAGGAAGTGAAAAGGAGATCACTGTTTTGCATTATAAATACTGTATTTTTCTTAGGTCCTATGTACTATGTTACAGGGGTTACTTTGATGAGAATAAAACTAATCTAATAAAAATGTCTTTAGAGCCAATTTGCACAACGTGGAGACTGTGTTGAGTATGCTTTCATGGAGACTGGAAAAGCGAGAACTAAAAAGTTGTGGCCATGCGTGGTTTCCAGGTTGAGGACTGAGTGAAATTTTGCTAGGTCAGGACAGTGAGAGACGATTAGAAGACAGCAGCGCGTGAGGGAGTAAGTTTCCAGAGGATGTGGAAGGAATGCTTTGATTCAGAAAGGACATACCTGGCAGCATGTTTGACTAGATTAAATTCTTTGTTTCTGCCCAAATACTTCCATTTAGCATCAAAATTTACTTCATCAAATCGAAACAGAGGATCTGCATTCACAGATAGTCTGTGACTGATACCTCTTCCTCTGTAGCTCCTAGAGCACTCATCTTGACCCCACTGCTCCTTCTTCCACCCCTAGTAGAAGCAGAAAATTATCCTGCTGCCTAAGATAACCAGCTTATTCCCAGGGAGGTGGACAGTGGAAGCAGGACAAGGAGGTGGGAGGGAGAGAGAGGCTCAGTTATGATTAGCTACTCTCTAGTTGGACAGTGCCTTTTGGTACTATAGAAGGCTTTCCTATTCAGGAACAGGGGCTTGGAGTGGTTTCCTTTTACCACTCTAAGAGAGGATCCAGTATTCAACCTCTGTTTAACTTAGCCAAGCGACACTACAGTCAAAATTGCCTATGTATGCAGGTGCAACAGTCCTGTGGGGGAAAAAATGTCTTTTTTGAATTCTCAGTTTACAAAGGCTGCTCTGCACGTTATAGTAATTACTAAAATTAATCTACATCTTATATGCAGTGTATTGCTGTTGACATGTTGTTTGATTTATAAATACTAATATTTTATTTTATTAATTTAAGCTTAGTAGTCTTATTTTATTTCAGATCCGAAATGTTTTTGTAAGCATTCAAAAAGTGTTAAGTGTTAGATACTGTTTCTGGTTCCTAAGAGAAGACTGCATTCTGGGTCAGAGTGGCAGGACTTCCTGCAGACCCAGGGCTTCTAATTTGTCTTTAAATAATCTGTTCCCCATCGTCATTCAGATCCATCCCAGATGACTTTTCAAACTTCAGATCTTAGGGTTAGAGTCTTCTTTTGTCTGTTCCAGAAAATCTTCTGGATCCCTGGACAAAATGGTACACTTCTGCCTAAAAGTATGGATTTCAGGGTGGGGGCAGCCTTGCTTAAATCCACACCCAAGGCCCAGTTAGGCCCTTTTTTTGGCCTTGGTGACTGTTTGCTCATAAGTCTTATAACTTCAAAGGTTCTCTCCAGGAAGTTTTCTTCTCTTTCTAGGTTGGAAGTCTTGGGTGGCATTAATTGGTTATAAACAGTAAAAATAGTGTAAATGAGATACTTTGCTATACATTGTAAGCACAGAAAAGTTCCCCCACCCTCTTTAGCTGCTGAATATCAAAGCTCAGGCCATGCACATGCAAAAGGCATGGTGTTCTACCATTGAGTGTATCCTAACCCCAAAAGTTCCTATCCTTAAAATGAAGGCAAGCAGCACAAGATTCTAAATAACTTACAGCAGTGAGTTACCTGTGTTCCATACATTCTCACTCATGTGATATTACAAGGAAAAAGTAAAATTTCTAGGAGGGATATATGTTAACCAAAGTTAGAAAGAAATTTCAGCAAGCACCTATCATAAATATTACAAAATTAACACCAACTTGTAAACTTGTTTCAGGACTTTAAGCAAGCTGCACTGATAAGCCAGACTGACGTCCACCTCTGTCATGCTACCGCCATGTGCCACCACAGGTATGGAGCGCAGTTGCTGTGGAGAGGGAAATCAAGCGGGGCCTCAGACATGTTTAGTTACAGTTCCATAGAAAAGGCAGGAAGGAATGGAAGACAGAGAGGAAAACTGTGAATGTGACTGACTGCAGAAAATGGGAAGGGACCCAAGGAATTAATTCCCTGTGTAGATATGGGACCCATCTAGTGTATTGTGTTGTTAGCCCTCTTTTGCCTTCCCGTAAAGTATTTTAGCCAAATCAGCAGAAAATACCTGCATCATGGCATTGGGGATGACCATCTGATTGAACTGTATACACTGGGAAACATCCTTGGCAATACATGGAGTAAAATTATGCTTAACTTGAAATATCTATTTAATTTGTTCATGAAATGGAACTGACTCATAAAAATCCGTTTTCCTGGAAGAGAGAGTGATTGCAAAAAAGAATGTACTTTCAAGGAAATCTTGCATTTCAAAACAAAATTGTAAATCTAAAATTAATTAAAACAATACCAAGAAGTATCTGCAAAACAATAAAATCAATAAAAAGTGCAATACTTAAACATTATGACCTCTTGTTGAAATTGTTACACAAATCAGTAAGTTATAGAGAGAACACTTATGTAAGGCCTCAATGCAGATCATCAATTTCAAATACAAACATAATATAGAGTATAGCACATAAAATTTGCTAACTATAATGTTTACATTTCTCTGCTGATATTCAATGTCTGAAAATTAAGTTTTGGTTATTTTGGTTTTAAAAGCATAGAGATTCAGTGTGCATGGATTTTAATATACGGTAAAATGTAGTTGGCCAAGTAATGGTTTACAATATTACTTTTTATAAAAGAAACAATAAGGGGAAATTTTTCTGCTAGTAATTTTCTGGACAATGTTTCATACCTATGTGTTGTACTCTGAACAACTACTATGAGTATAACAATACAGAATGTGTTGATTACTGTTACAGTCCTAGCCTGTTTTGAAACTTGTTTTAGTTACTTCTTACTTTTTTCTGTTTAAAACTTAAAAATTGGGGCTGGGGGTTTAGCTCAGCGGCATAAGCACCTGCCTTGCAAGCAGGCGGTCGTGAGTTCGATCCCCGGTACCGATAAAAATGAAAAAGACAAAAAAAAAAAAAAAAAAAAAAAAACTTAAAAATTATAGCAGTTAATTTGTAGGAGGAAATTAGAATAATTGGCAAATTATGTATATAGACTCTGAGAATATTCAGTTTATAGAATAGAATACGGCCTCAATTATTTAGGAACTTGACATTATTTTTCCATGTAGGACACAGATATAGTACAGCCACATTTCCTTATGACAAAGTTTTGTTATTTTATGAACAAAGTAACATAGCAACTGGAACTTCTGAAGATGGCTTCAAGCTAAAAGAACCATTCTCAGACCTTTTATTTTACATAGTCAGTAAAATATAATCACACTGTTGTCAATTTTAATCTAGCAACCTGTTCAATCCATCTCGTTAATTATCTTTCTTAAGAAAAGATAAAATAATGAGCCTGATGTATTTGTTTTGGTGGGTGTGTGCTAACCAAAAATGTCTAAAGACTTTACTTTCTGTTAAAACTAAAGACAGACTCCAAAATTTCTCTCACCCTCTTCCCTATGTTTAGCAGCTGTTAGAATTAGTAAGTTTCTCAGTTGTCAGTGCACAATAGGTTTTATGAAATGTAATCACTGGTTATCTACAGCAGAGCCTCCCTAAGCTGATACTGCTTTGCGATTTCAAATAACCGGCTTTCATCACCTGACTAGATCTCTATTGTTCTTTAATAAAAGTAGAATTTAAGTCAACAGTAAATCCCTTAGAACTCAGAGTCCCAGTTCCATGTGTATTGAGTTTTTAATGGTTTTACTGAACTTAGTAATAAGGAATGTTTTATGATTAAATTTCTTCAGGAAAAATATTTTTGCATTTCAAAGTAAGTGATAATACATACATAGCAGCATAGTTGTAACTGTGGGAGTTTGCTTTTGGTGTCTTACATAAAGTAAGGAGAATAAAAAAATTCATTTGGAAAATTTTATAAAAGGAATAAATCTTTAAATTTTAGGGCTTTGATCTTTGAACTCATGGGGCTGCAGACTTTTGAAGTATCTTTTGTGTATCTCTGATTCTCACTGTTGTGGTTGCTAGGAGACAGCATTCCTTAGGCTGAATGTCCTACTTGTTGCCCAACTTAATCACCAACAGTTTTATGGGAGAGTTAATTTTTAGATCTCTTTAAGAAAGCTACCTTCATATTTTTTGTTATATGTCCTGTGCGTTTTTCATTTCAATATGTTTTGCCATTTTTAATATTTGCATAAAATACATTCTAATCTTTGACTTTGAAAGCCACGTTATTTAGTTTGGGGAAGGTATTTGTGATTTATTTGTACAACTCAGTAAGGCATGTCTTGTAACATATGTGATTAATGCGGCCAGTGCTGTGGGCTTCTGTGTCTGTATCTTTGCTGCCTGCTTATTGCATGATTCAAGAGTAGATACATCAAGAGTAAATACTTTGTTTGAATGAGCGCATTGATTCAGATTTATGCATATGCATTTTATTTTATAAAAATCTATATACTTTTGTAAGTGGTAGCAGATCTCAATGTTTATAGTTAGGGCACATGTACATCCATGCAGTGTAGAATTCTGTTATGCTTTCCTATTGGCCAATGGCCACGTGATGACTGAACTAGAGCATCTACCAAGGGAACACTGAGACATCTCTCCAGAAAAGTAAAATTGTAGTTTCTACAGTGGTTTCTGTTTAGTTTGTTTCCTCATCCATTGGTGTTAGAACACAGGTAGTTTGTCTCTTCGGCTCTGTCTCCTCCTCTGGAGTTGGTTTTAGTCATCACAAAGTACTCTGAAGTACTTTGCCAAGTGGGTTTCAAGATGCACTTCTAGCTTTAAGGTGTAATGGTTATTCACGTACTCTGAATAGACTAAGAAGAATTCATTAAAGTTAACACTGATAGCCACATCAGTAAAATAATAGCTTCCATCACTGTCTTTGGGTAATATACTTATGCTGTATGATGGTGTGCTTTAACTCACTGCCTCACAATTGATTTTATATTTTTATAATTGATTAGGCTGTGCAAAAGGAGAGATTATGTTGTATAAGCCATATATCAGGACATGTATTCCTAAAGGATTTGCAATTCCTGTTTCAGTAAGAAGGAAAGAATATGACATTGGGATATAAGAATAGTAGGAACATTTCAATGATTTATGGGAAAAATATGAGGGTAGCAGAACTGTCCTGAAAACTTCAGTAAATATAGATGATGATTTTGTATCATAAGTACATACTCCACTACTCACTGTAGAAATATTGAACACAATAAAACTGACCAAAAATACATTTCACATAAAAGACTATTGTATATTTATTCTTGATAAGCAATGTTAGTACATGTTTAGCATTGCTGTTGTAATATAGTCACATGGAAAGGCACTGTAACCCTACCTTCTCTGGACTCTTGCTTCTTAGACAGTGCCAATTATTGAGGAAAAGGAGCACAATTTCATTATTACTTTTTTGAAAGTAAAGATCCTGTGTTTTCTGAGTAACAATCCATAGAATGAATGCTAACGTTTCCAGTTGACTCAAATATATGGATGCTGCCCTTTGCCTGTCCCTTATATCAGAAGTTAATCTTCTCTGGCACTTCAGTGTTCACTTTGTGGACCACTCTGGCAGAGCATTTGATGCACCACTGTCAGGTAGTCTTAGCCAACATGGAGCAAGAATCATGAGTATGTTGATTATTTTTCATGATGTGGTCGTGCACTAAGGAAAAACAAAGACTACTTTATAAGCAGAAGGCCCCAATGGACAAGACAAAACAAAATAGAATTACTCAAGCTAAATGCAAATACATAAACAGAGGCATTAAGGGAGCCAATATGTTCCAAAATAGATCAGCTAAAGCCTTTCTCCTAACTCCCTGACCATACAGTAGCCTCAAGTAACCTACTGCTCACCAATCAATTTTTTCTCTTCTATTTCTTTGTTAATACTGTACAAACCCCATTTTCTTTTATTTCCCAGTGGGACTGGAGGCCAAATAAGTCTATGTACAATGGTGATAAAGAGTGAGGTTAATGCACAACATTTTGGTCATTAGTCAGTTTTGAGAGGTTGATCAAAAGGGAAGAGGTTGACTAGATGGGGAGAATTGTTAAAGTTGGCCTAAAGTTGCCTCCCTATTTAGTTTAAGTTTGTCTTTAAGCTTTCTTCATACATAGTGAACTGTAACCTAACTTGAAATGTAAACAGGCTGTAATTTACGCTTGTAACAGGTAACTGAATCTCAGCTAATCACAAGCAACTAATTGTTCATACTTCTAGTAGCACAGAAGTAAACTGTATCCAGTGGGCTTGTCTCTTCCACACTTTCTTCTGTATGCATTTTCTTTTGCTCTGGCTACAAATCCAACTTGGAGCATATAGTGAGGTAGAGCATTTTGGATCCAGGATGCTGCCAGAGTGCAGAATCACATATAAAGCCAATTAAGATCAGCAAAAGAAATTTTGACCTACAGCATCACATTGTGAGAAGCTGAATCACTTTGTACTTTCAAAATTCTTTTCATAACTTACAAACACATCTAGGGAGAAGTGTTAGCGCCTTTAAAAACTTCCTATTTGCGAATGGTGGTCCAGGCCTCAAGTTTAGTTTTCTGTAGATTACAGCATCCGGCAACAGTTTTATTTATTTTTAGGGTTTCTTTTTATTAACAACAGGAGATACTTATTCTTCTGTGTTTAGCATTGAAATTAGATTTTCTTTTAAAATAAATTTTGTTTACATTTAATGAATAAACATAAAGGAAAACATTCTGTAGATAAAAAGGTGGGAAAGCTCTCATTAAAGGAAAGGCTGAGACCTGGGGAACACTAAAGGATACTCTTAAGCAACATCTAGGAGAAGATAGTTTCCTGGACAGTAATCCTGGATTCCATGTGTTTTTTAAAAAAGGCAAAACATGTAAATATTGATACATCTTATTACATTTTAAAACTGGCTGAGGCAAATAATGAATGGTCAGAGGTCTCTGTGCTGTTTTTTCTTTTATTTGGTTCTTATTATAACACTGAAAAATTTGTTCAGTTTGTGTGTTCAGGCTCAGGTCTTTGTTCTGATTACATTGTTCCATGATCAGCTCACTGGCTGTCCCTCACCAGTTGAAGTGTATTTTAAGTGAGGAATATGCATTTGAGATGGCTGTGTGCAATAATTTGGAATTCTGAAGTGAGCCTTATCTGAGTTTGAGTTTTAAGTATTTGCTCTGTCCAAAGTTAGTATGGTACTTACTATGCCATTTCCTGTGTGTAAACTTTTCTGAGTCATGATCTGTCTTTTCATCCATAAAACGTAGATAATTGTAACTAGGTTAAACAGTTGTTGGAAGGATTATGCAAAGAGTTGTTCAAAGGTTCAGCTTTTAGCACAGTACCAGTAAGTAAGCAGTGACTCAATGTTAGCTCCCTTATCCGATTATTTTTTTCAAAATCCTAGTCTTGATGTTGAAACTGAATATAATTATTAGACATGCTTGTGAATTAGTGAAGTGATTTTATATACCAATGAACCAATATTTTATTCCTCTAACAACCTTCACCCCCACCTTAGGGAGGATAGAAAGGATTATCATTTACCCATATTCATTTATAAGTTAATAAATAAAAGGCACTTCTTTCTCTGATTTCCTCTTCTGATGTCTGCAGTGATATGGACATCTTTTATAGATCTGAGGTAAAACACCTGTCTGATGAAAATTTATTTCTTTTCACTATACAAGGAAGTTTTAAGTATATAAAATACATTTTTAAAAAATATACATGATATATTTAATGATGAGCTAAAATCTGTGAGATGCATCATTAGTTCATCATTTCATGAATGACAGAGGGTGTATTTGCAGACTAAGACAGTTACAATGTCACTACATAATGCAATCTTAGGGGACTACCATTGTATATATAGGCCAATACTAACAGAAACCTCATTAGTGTAATGAGTGTACTTGATGTAATTTAAAAAGTATATTTTATCAATAAGAGCATCTGTTTTCTGTACTGGTAACTGACAGTCGTTAAAACAAGATTTACAAATGCAATATGGACTTTTATCACTTGACAAAAATTTCATCCCATCATATTCTGCTGTAGAAATGTCTCTTTCTTTGATTTGTTCCTTTATCTAAAACTTCAAAGAACCTGTCAGACTTCTTATATTGTATGGACTTATATTCACCTCCTATGATAGATAATAAAATTTTAAAAAATTTTAGTATATGTGCTGTCAAAGTGGGCACTAGAATTGAAAGTTTTATAAGGGCCACTGTAAATCCTTTTGGAAAAGTTGTATTCAGGAAAACACTGGATGTGTCACTAGAGAGCATCAACTCACCAGAAGGCATCAATATTTTAATTTTTTTCAGAATTCAAGAATTCAAAGAAGCTATCAGTTTCTTTACACAAGCTCTTAGTATTAACCCACTTTTTCTGGATGCATATATTGGACGAGGAAATTCTTACATGGAATATGGACACGAGGAAGCCATTAAACAAGCACAGAAGGACTTTCTGAAAGCACTGCATCTTAATCCATTATGCACCAAAGCCAGGATTAGTCTGTGCTATAATTTGCAGGTAATACATCATTCTGAATATTGGAAGTACTGTCTGGACAGGAGAGAGAATATATTTGATTCTTAACTGGTGACGGGGCTCAGTGTTATTTCTTTGGTTAGGAGCATTTACCTTTCCCTTACGTTTAGTATGCAAAGTGGCAGGGGTAGCAGGGAGCCCACATAGTTGCAGGGAGCCAGCCTGGACAAGCCAGGGGCCCTAGAATGCCGGTAAGATGAGGATTTTAACAGGAGTTTCCTTAAGGTCTGCACTCCTCTCTGTCTTTGTTTAAACTGCTTGTAAAACTTGCCTCATGAATTTCACAAATAGGTACCTGACTAACATTTTGGTTACTTATACCTACCTTAGTTCTATGGGCTTTATCCTATCAAACTACTTAAAAACAAAGGACAGTAAACAATGTATGTTTACTGTATGAAAATTTTAAAGTGAACACCAGCCATACAAAAGGTCAGAAACATGTTACATAGGGACTTCTGAATTCAGCCATCTTCCAGGGGGCAGTGAATTAGAACTTGCTGGGAAGGCAAGAGGACAAGAGTTTGTCCCCTTAGCAAGATGAGAGAGTGATACTATACTCTGATGCCAAGCTGCTCTCAAGATAGGCATAGGAAGTAATACAAACAATTATGATGAGTGCAACAAAGAAAAAATAGGTTATAGACTCAGAGAGTTGAGCTGTGTTTGAGGAGTAAGAGAATAAAAGAGCAAGAGAATAAAAGAATAAAAATTAACATTTACATCTAGATGAAGGACTGGAAAGCTTTGTAAGAAAGAGACAGATGGTCTAAGGGGGTAGAATGTTTAGGGGAAGGGGAGAATGGTGTGAAACAAAGCTAGATTATTAAATGAGGTCTGGGTTTAAAGACCTTGTAATCCAGCTAAACATGTGAATAGTGCTAATCAGAGAAGTGACATCAAGCTTGCATTTCATGAAGATATTACTGGGTATACAACAACCTGAAAAGGAATTTAAAAAGCACATTAATAGAAAGGATTGAATCAGGAAAAGGACTGGCTGATAAACGTGAGGTAGGACCATCCAATTACTGTCCAAGAGAGTGACACTTCTTTATTAAAAACTTACAGATTCCTTTAGTATTTGCCTAACACTGAGGACACAGAGGCAAGTAGAACAGATCTTTTCAGGAATAGATGACAGATGAAGTCTTATTACGAGGCTGTTGCAGTTTAATACTCTCATAATCTAATCCCAATTTTCTGCTTTATTTTTCGTTAGATGAACTTGTGGTGACTCTGTTTCCAAATGGTGTACTCAGAGTGAGATTTGTTGGTCAGAATGTAAGGTTTAGTTCTCTGAGTAGTAATAAGTGGTCATAGCTTTTGCTACGGTCGCTGGGATATGCTTGGCTAAACTGAGCCAGCTTCTGAGACCTGGTAAGGTTGGGTTTCTGAACCCAAGAAAAAGACAGATTCTGGACCATGCTGAATTAATTACTTACTACCTTCCCATGGTGAGGTGTTTAGTAGCCTGCTGGTCTTCTCTAGGAAATGCTCTGACATTCTTTTATCATTGGTGCTCCTCTCTTGATGCTCTTTTTTCTTTTATTCCAGTTGATATTAAGGTTGGTGGAAACAGATGCTTGGTAGAGTTACATGTATTTTCCACAGAATATGGGTAGTGGTGCTAAAATTCCAGATAGTGGTATGATTTACCAAAACGTGTTACACTTTTACTCATTTACTTGTGCATTGCATATTAATTTTAATTGGAGTTTCTGTGCCAAAAAATAATAAATATAATCTCTGCTTGTTCCTGTGGAACTCAATGTAAAATTTTTGACAATAGTCAGAAGCACTGGTGTTTTACATGCTGGTCTTCCTTTTGTATTGCCCAAGATTGTAGTTGTGTAAGAAATGATTCTGCAATTAAATATATTTTAATTAATTCAAATGTCATCATAAACACTTAGAGGCCGTCAACTGAATGTACTCACAGCATAGCCTACTTTCCTGTTTAAAATATCTTAGATTTAGCACAATATAAATGTGACCTTTCCAAAGGTTATAAGTGAGTTAGAATCATAAACATTTGTCACGTTACTCACTATTCATTGTTTCATAAAATTGGGAAATTATTTTAGGCCCAAGGAAAATTGCAGAAAGCTTGGAACCACTTTACCATCACCATGGACATTGATCCACAGAACTACCTGGCCTATGAAGGAAGAGCTGTGGTCTGTCTTCAGAAGGGTATTAATTTTGCTGCAATGCAAGACATTAATGCAGCTATAAAGGTAAAAATATACTTAGTTCATATTATTATTGGCATAATTAGCACAATCAATGAACTTCTTCAAATAAGAAGTTCTGTGTTACCTTTTTAAAATGACTTTGAAGAAAATATTTTCCGTTATTCCTGAGTATTTCCTAACCTCAAAAATTATTGTATCTTGGCAATTTTATAGTCTAAATGAATTTAAAATTTAAAATCCAAATTCCTGATAAACATTGATTACTCTCAGGAAATGCCACTTTTCAGATTCACAAATCAGGCACTTCATTTTGTAGTATGAAGAAATGCAAACTATAAAATGAAGTTCTAGTTTTACAGGAACTAAAGAAAGAAGAATTTAAATCTGCAGATTCTTCCTCAAGTGAAACTCTAAATAAAAGTCCTGCATTTTGAATGCAGTGACAGAAATCTTTTTAGTTCTTGAATTTCCTCTCTCTAAATTTGAGTAGACGCTGTAGTGTTTGAAATGAGAAAAAGGAAAAGACCTGAAGAACAATTACTACTACATAGGAAAAACAAACATGTCAATTATTGAATTTAATTTCTTTTCTGGCTTAACATAGGTAAACAGATAAACTTTCCTCCTGTGTCTGTGTCTTGGAAAGGAGCTGAGTAAAGCATTAAAATGATTTGTTTTATTGCAAGCAAATCAACAGTGTTGACATCAAACCAATTTCATAACAAGTCCTTTCTCACAATATTTGCTCTAATCGGGTTTTACCTGCACTATAAAGTTACCCTTTCCCACAAGTAGATTTCATAATGTTCATTTTTGCAGACATGAAATTGGAGATAAACACTATTCCCAGATGCTAAAGACTCATTCTATTATATACAGATCAATAGGACTGCAGAGTTCTTAACAAATCGCGGTGTGATTCATGAGTTTATGGGTCAACAACAGAATGCAATGAAAGACTATCAAGCAGCGATTGCTCTAGACCCCAAGTACTGGCTGGCTTACTTTAATGCCGGAAATATCTACTTTCACCATCGGCAGTTTTCTCAGGTAATGTGAGTTTTCCTTAACATTTTCTTTCTGACACTAAATGCCTGTTTGTTAAATGTAGTTTCAAAATGCAATCCTTATACTGCAGCCTAATAAATCATAGCTCTTCTTTTTTAAAAAAACTCTTTTTCATAAGACTGTTTATGATTACCCATTAAGTGTTTGTGCCAGTATGGATTTAGTCTCTTTATTGTCTTCAGCCATATTCTTTCAGCCTTCCCTGAGTGCCAGCACTATCCTTGCCATGTCCATTGTCACCAACCTCCAGCCTGCTGGCACTTCTTTCTCCCACTTAAATTTCATTGCAAACCCTCTTTATGATGGGATTTCTACCTCATCTTAATTTATACCTTTGCTAAACATCAGGATACTGGAAGTAGGGAGACTTGGATATCAGTTTTGATTTAATTTCTTCCAATCTCAAATTATAATGTCTGAAATAAAAATACTGGTATAGTGTATTGCTTTATTTTGAATTTATTTTATTTGAATTGTAAAGCATTTACATGATTCAGACTCTTATTACCTTTTCGAGTTTTTCTTTCTATCTGCAGTCATTCTTGTTCTGATTTCCTTCAATTTTCCTTGTCCTTCATCTGTCTTTCTGAGTTGGTAGTTTAAATTCTCTCTTTTTTTTGTTTACCCTTCCAATTGTATTAGGACAGTTTATTAATGTCATGTATTTTTTCAGTATTTTTCTAGCTGTAACCCATACATTTCAGTCTGTATTTATTTTTGACTTGAGTAAAATACATATAAAATTTTCCATCTTAACTACCTCTGGACCAGTTCAGCAGTATTAAGCATATTCTGTAACATTCCTATTAATTCAAGTTTTCCTAAAATTTTGTACCTGAAATTTGTATTTTAAAAGTATTTTATTCTGTGGTCTATTTTCTTTAGTTTTTTAAAAGAATTTTCTGATGGGAAGGTATATAGTTGTACTCTTTTCTAAAAAATATCTTTAATTCCTTATCTTTTTAGTTTCTCTACTATAAAGAACAATAAAATCACCTATAGGTGCATAATCAAGAATACTTGTTAAAAAGAAAAGAAAAAAATCTCGTCCTCATGACCTACTCTCTAGCTATCTCCTCTGCTTTACTACTATTCTTCATGGAGGACTTTGCTTAAGCTAGCTGGTTATAGTGGCTCTTTCTCCACTGTTGATTTACTGCACAGGGTCTCTGCAATTCTTTGTTTCCACCCTGCACATCTACTGGTCTTCCAGTGCTCTTGCCAAAGTTATCAGTGGTCTCCTCCATCCTCTTCTCCCTTGTGTCTATTACCACTCAGCGGTAATGGACACGGGCACTTGTCTCATGCTAAAACACTCTGTTTTCCAGATGATGCTACTCTACCCTGTTTTCTTCTGAACACCTTGGCTAGATCCTCCTGTGTCAGTGCTTTCCTGACATCTCTCTGCTTCGTTTCTAAATGCTGTTACCAACCCAGGACTGGCTCTTGTTTTGCTTCTGTTTTTGTGTGCTGATCTCTTAACTCTCAAGTCTTATTAAGATTGTAAATTCTGAGGGGCGAGAATCATTTACTGTTATCTCTTTACTGAATTTCTTGACTCAGAAAACCCATCTAGGGTTAGAGATATAGACTGCTTGTGTCACACGTGTGCTAAGATTCAGGTTCAAGCCTCAGGACGGTGGTAGTGGCAGAAGTGGGGGGTTGGAGAAAAGAGAAAGAGGAAAAAAAAAAAAAAAAAGAAAAGCTCCATTTAGTCCCATAATTTGTACTAGTTGTCAACCTCTACCTTTCCTCTGAGTTCCTAACTCAGGTTTATTTCAAGTAACTAAAATTAGGGATTTTACAAGTGCATTAATATCAAAACTGATCTGTTAATCCTCTATCCGTAGCCCAGTTTTCATTGTGTAAATTCTCTTAACTCAAGATGTCATCTTCCACAAAGCCATTTGAGCAAAACCATCAGAGTGAAACATACTTTTTTTTTTTCTTTCCTTCTTCTACTCAATCATTTAATCTTGTCAGTTTAGTGTCTTAATTTTTTTCAATGAGCTTGGTTGACTACCATAGTGAATCAGATGCTGGGCCACAGTTGTTGAAGGTGTAATTCTCTAAGGCACAAATGCCACGGTTGTTCAAATCTCATTGGACAGCTGGGAGGAAAACACAGCAGCATCAATTGCCTTAAACTTCATTAATGGCAGATTATTCTCTAACTGGGTCCTGTCCATGTTGTTTTGCATGATAAAGTTAGTTAATGAAATTTAGACAAATAAAATGACCAGGACAATTTTCCATTTTCATAGATGTTTAAGATATGCATAAGGGGAGAACCTCTGCCTTTTACATGTGTTTATCTTTAATAATTATGAACGTCATGTACAGGATTATTTGTTTAGATCTACAATGTAGTTTGAGCTTTTTAAAATTTATGATAGAGCTCTATCCCCACCACACTGCTGACACATTAACCAGGGAAACATTTCACCCTAAAAGGGGTTCCATTTTTTTTCTGAAATATCACATGCTGGGGTTCCTCAGTACATAGTCCCTTGGGAGACAGGTAACCCTTGACAGTAGCTATTCAGGTATGCTGCTCTGCTTTGGGATTCTCTTTGTGGAGAAAATTGCTTCCATGCCTTTCCCATTTCGTCTTCCTGCTATTATTTCTTACTATACTGGGAACAAGCTTTACGTCCAGGAGGAAGGATCCCTCAAGTAATCTTTAGACAGTTAAAACATGTATATTACCTGATTTCTTTTTTCTTTAGTAACTTATGGGCTACTTGTACAAATTGTGAGCTATAAATATAAGTGGATCTGTTTTCTAATTATTTATTATGGTTATTAGGGCATTAAACAATTTCTTAAAATTCAGGCCTCTAATTACTTTAACCTCTAGGTAGTTGATGCTGTTATATTTCAAGTAACCTCATTAAATTTATAGAATTTTCAGTTTTGAGAATAATGGAATCAGAAGATATAATATAAATTTACATTGTTCAAAGTTAGGTACTCTACTGGTATTTTATTGAGTTCTTTTTTCATAGCCAAGGTATGCATTTGCTCCTACACAATTGAAGTCATGCTTTTGTGATAAAGGAATTGTGTAATATTTTTGATCATTTATTGGTGAATTAAAATGAAGGCCAGATTACTTTATGAAGAAGGCAATGCTTTGCCTCCTCTTTGATGACTATGTATGCTGCCTTTTCTTTAGTAATAAATTCTCTTCATACTGTTCATAAACGGATGTCAACCTGTCTCTATCCCAGCACCTCCATGCAGTACAGAATCGCTGTCATCCATGAATGAGAGGGGTTATGTGCTAATTGAGTCTGAGCCTCGTCTTGCTCTCTCCTTCCTTCCTCTTGTTGCTTTTGCTGTCTGCTGCCATGAACTATTGCTCCTCTGCCATGAGCCATTCTGCCTTGGATCCAGCCAATTGTGGTCTGAATCCTCTAGAAACTGTGAGCTAAATAAACATTTTCCCCTTTTGCTTTGAGTATTTTGTGCCAGCAATTAGAAAAGTAATTAAGACAGAACTTAGTACCAGAGAAATGGGATCATTGCCCTGACTATACCTGACATGTAGCTCAGGACCCTTTGGGAATGGCTGGTAGCGAAGTTTGGGAAGGTTCATAGATGTCAACTGAAAAAGTAGAGACGGAATGTCTTGCACTGTTCTTATGGGAGATTCTGGTCCAAGCTCAGAAGACCAGAATGCTGATAGAAATCCCATCAGTGAAGACCAGGCTTGAGAGGTTTCTAATGGAAAAAGGACTGCATTGGCTGTTGGACTCCTGGTGATGTGTGTTATGGCTTGGCAGAAAGTTTGTCTGCATTTTGTTTGTGGCCAGAGACTGCCTCAGACTGAGATTAACAGTTTCAGACTAATTAATCCGGCAGAAGAAACTTCAAGGCAGTCTAATGATGAGGCAGTAACATGGATACTGGTAGACTTTTAGCCAGATTTATGTTGCGAATCAGTAGCAAACAGCCCAGAAGAATGATTTAAAACATGGTGAGTTTGGCCAGAAGGAATTGCCAGTAATGTCCCCCAAAAACCAATAGGCTAAAGGTTGTTTGCCAATCTGTGATGCTACTAGAGAGGGTGGAATCTTCAGGAAGTGGGATCTAGTAGATGAAAGTCTCATTACTGGGCCTGCATTCTTGAAGGGGATTCTGGGGCTGTAACCACTTCCGGTCTCTCCTTGCTTCCTAACTGTCATGAAATGGATAGCCTCTCCTTGCATATGCTCCCACCTTGGTGACTTGTACCACCACAGCTCCAAAACAACAGGGCCACTTGATCATCAGCACAAACCTCTGAAATCGTATGCCAAAGTAAATCATTTCTGTGTTTAAGTTGATTATACCAGATATTGTGTTGCAATTATAGAAAACTTAAGACTCACAGTGCTTCTAGTGCTCCCTTGGTAGGCCACTATCCATAATTTTAAATGAATAATAAATGCCCTTTGAATTTTCAGATAACTTCTAATTAAAAAATGTTGGAAATGTTATTGTTTTTACATTTTGTAGGCCAGTGACTACTACTCAAAGTCTTTAAAGTTTGATCCGGAAAATGAATATGTTCTCATGAATCAAGCCATTACAAATACAATACTAAATAAATATGAAGAAGCAAAAGAAGATTTTGCATGTCTAATTGACCGCTGTCCCTTTTGGGCTGCAGCGTATTTTAACAGAGCACATTTGTACTGCTTTTTAAAGCAGTATCACCTTGCTGAGGAAGACCTTACTACAGGTACATTTTTTGGAAATTATTTTGATAAGACTAAAGTGGTTGATATTTTTGTTTGTAGACTACAAAAGAAAATCGCAAGGTTTATTTGTCTTGATAAACTAACACAAAATCAGTGTGTTTAGATAACATATCTGAAATGTAACCACTATAAATTCCCTTATGTAACATGTTAACCTAAAGTTTTGGTAAGCAGAGTTAAAGAGAATTATTAGGAAATAATATACAAGCAATGCCAACCTTTCAGTGAAAGCCATTGTATTGTGGTTTCTCAAATTAGCTTTCTTAGGAAGAGTCAACATTTTAGATTTAACTGAATTTTTGCAATTGAAAAAATTATTTCAAATCAAAGTTCTTACAAAGTTTTATTTTTAAAGGTGAAACTATTTTTGAGTGCTTGCATAAACATATCTTGAAATTTGTTCTTTTGCAGCCCTGTCTTTGACGCCTAATGATGTGCTGGTATATAACCTCAGAGCAGAAGTTCGGGGTAAAATAGGTCTGACAGAAGAAGCTATGGCTGACTACAACCAAGCACTTGATCTTGAAGAATATGCCTCAGTTGCCTGAGTTTATAGACTGTGCTGTGATTTCTGTGGTAGCTTACATTTACATGGCTACGCCTCCTGAAACTGAAATGTATTTGTTCAGAAGTTTGTACCACCTTCTGCATTTTCTGCATTTTGCTTAGTCTTCTATATTATCCTTTAATGCATTTTAACAGATTGTTTCTATATATTGGGAATATCTCAATAATTGAATTTCTTCACAAATTGTAGAATTTACATGAGAAAGTTTCTCAAGGAATATGAATACATAAAATATTTTATCTAAAGTAAAATAATTTCCTTTGAAGTAGTATGTAGAAAAAATGTTATCAACCTTTTCATGGATTCCTACACAGAATATGTCCAACAGTATCCAGATAAAGGATGAATACAAGATGATAACTATAAAAATATTAAAATCACATGCATTTCCTCTCTTCTTTAAATAATGTATATACTGACTTGTATTCTTTCTGATACATTTTTTCAGCAGATAAACATGTCTCTCTTTTTCATGTTCCTTTTTTTCTAAGATAGCATCTATAAAGATTTCAGGTAACCCAGTTTTCTGAGATAACCTTTTCTGCCTTTTTAGTTCTGGTCTCAACAATGCATACGTATATGCCGATTGTTTAACTATACGTGAAAATCTGTCTGCACTTGTGATTGGTGTATCATAACAGTAGATGGGTTGAGAAATTAAAACAGCCAAACATTCTTTATAGAATGTTTCTAAGAGATCTTTGAATCAATCAGAGAATGCCCTTCTTTTATATCACTGATGATAACAAGACGAATGGACTTTTATTTCATTTGGATTTGCTTCACCAGCTTATGTTCCTTCTTGGTATATTTTTGCTGGTACCCATCCAGTTCCTTAGAAGCCTGGTTCCACCAAGATTAGCAATTGGAAGAAATACATCTGCCCACTCAGCCTTTTTTGTTTTAGGCTAGCTGCAGATTTCACAATAGAAAGTTGATTTTAGTTTGTAAGCCACTGTGCAAAAGTTTCATAATATTTTAGGGTACTTTTCCTGGTGACATGTGTGGGTACAGGAAAGTGTGAGGAATGGGTCATCCCCACTGAGTCACACTGCCTGGTGCACTAAACCCGTGTGATCAGTTGTTTCAGAGCCTTTTCTCTCAAGGTCTCGAGGTCCTGTTATCCCTGCCTTGGTCACAGGTGAGATTCAGGCTGACTGTGCTCTGTAGGCAGCGCCACTCCTCCTGCTATGCTCACATCTCACACCTCTTCCTGGTGGGCCTGGGCTCCTTTATCAGTGATCAGGGGTTGGATGTGCAGGCTTCCCTTCATGCTGTCCCCATGCACTGCAGATGTGCAGAAGATCCGAGTCTCTATCATATGCACCTTTGATAATAAGGAAAAGGGACGAGGAGATAAATTTCTCTCCCATGCATCTCTTGGTGATGTCCAGATAGGTTTTAAATAGGTTCCTGAAAAATAGTCCTGGGAATTTAAGCAGTTAGTTGCCTTTACTGGTGGCCAATAAAAGCACAAAGTACACCTCTTATTATTGCTTTTGTTTTCCTTGACTCACTTCCATTTCTTACATCCCGGATTCTCTGTGATTTAACTTGATAAATAGTGGCTCAAAAGCATTTTCCTTAGATTCTGCTTTCCAAGGGAATTCAGATGAAGCCAATTAGTAATTTAATATCCCACCCCCAACTGCACACTAGTTACCTTCCATATGAGGCAGGATGTAACAACTAATGGAGAATGATACAAACTGAGGATCACAGCAGCATAATGGAGCCAATCATGACTAGCTTGTCAAAAGGCTTCAGGTCCCTTTGTGCATATTTCTTCACATCTGAAGTTTCCATTTGCACTGATGGCACCCTATGAAGACACCTCTGGTGTTCCTTCAGAAGTGTTTATCTCCATCCACAGATAGACCTCCTCAAAACTGCAGAGGGCTTAATGATAGGGGAGAAACTTCAGCTAACAGCAGAGGAGAGATAAGGAGAAACTGTTCAACTCCCCTGGCCACTGAGTGGTAATTTCCCCAGCGTTCCCCAGTTCCAGCGTATAAAATTCATGTAGAACACATATTTTGTCGGTTTCCTCCCTTTCCTGACCCTCCTCACCTATCTCCTTTTCTGTTGACAAAGCTCCCCTTTGAAGTAAATCACTTGTACTAAAATCTTTATCTCAGGGTGCACTTCTGAAGCATCTGAATGTAAAACAGCATCACCAAAGAAGAGGTATTAGAGCTGAATTTGGAGCAGGGTAACATCTGTTGGCAGAGATGCTGAATAGTAAGATCTTCCGAAGAGACCAGTCATCTGCACAGATACACAGAAGCAGGAAAATGGAAAATTAACATTTGAGGAGGAGTTGAAGTAGAGAATTTCTGTGAGAAAATGGTGGAAACGAAGCAGAGCTTCCAGTCAGTCAGATGTGAAGGATCCTCAGCACTGGATAAAGGAATTAAAATTCAAAGTAAGGAGTTAAAGCTTGACTGCGGGTGTGAGAGAGAACGTGGCAGATGGACAGAGAAAGGAAGTGTCTTTCATTCCCTTTGTTTCCTTCCATATTAGGGGTTTTTATAGCATCATCAATAAAAATTGGACCTTGGAAAATTGATCAGATTTTTCCTGTTTTGCATGGGATCCTTTCTGATGGTTGTCCCAGACATATGAGGAGAAAGACAGCAGGGTGAAGGCATGATGGAGAATAAGAGAGAAGGTGACTTTCTGGGTTAAGCCTGGCACAGATGCCATCAGAGGAGAGGGAAGCAGTATCTAGTTCCTTCTTTTATTTCACTTTGTGTAGTACTGATATCTTTAGCCATTGGGCTGAGCCTATGCACTCGTCACAACTGCTGGGATTTATGGGTTTGGTTTAAGTATTTTTACAATATATGTATGCTATAACACACACACACACACACACACACACACACACACACACACACACACAGATCTCAGTGTTCCCTAGAGGTAAAATTGGAGAGGTAAAGAAAGTGGGAGAATTTTTGCCTTATTTCACTTTTTTTTACTTAATAAGAAAAAAGTATAGAATTATAGGTGAGTTTTATGCATTTCTGTCATTTGTAAGGGGTTTTGTTAACTGTGGCTTTTTCCCCCACTACAGTATAAGCTCTATGAAAGTAGATGCTTTGTCTTTTACATTTCATGTTATATTGCTAATACTTACGGGGCCTGACAATTATTAGGTGATCATGGAATATGTGTTAAAAACAATTAAAAACACTATGAGTCAACATCACTGTCCAGTTATCACTTGCTTTGCACATGTCTTTTAGATGTCTTGCCTGTATTCCATAAAATGAAAACCGAAAACCATTTGTCAAACGTCTTGGCAGCCAACAGTCTGAGTTGCTAATGTGATTTCCAACTTGATGCAACCCCATAAAGTTGGATCCAAATAGTGTCACATGGATCACCTTTCTACTGGTATTCAAAGAGTGGCATGAATGTTTCCAGGTTCAGCAAATATGCGATTAGTTGTAAAATTAAATCTCAGATGAATAAGGAAAAATTCAAAACTTTAGTTATAAATAGAGGTCACCCTCTTCAGTTTAAATTATTTGGGTAAAATTATTCCTCAGTATATTACACGGACATACTTACATTGAAAATCATTTTGAACTTTAATAATTTCAGAAAAAACTATTTCTGAAATAAAATGATGCTGATCTGAAATTCAAAGGTAGATAAATATCTTACCTGGTAACCCTACGTTGTGGCCAGCATCATGACTGCCCTTTCCAATCCTGAACACAGATGTTGCCCCTGATCTCTCAATAGTCCTGGAAGGTGGTTGGTTTTGTAGGATGAGGACACTGAAGATAAATAGGATTTAGTGGTAGGATCAGGCTCAGGCAGTTAATGAATGGTGGAACGGAGCATCAGCTCTTTTATTTCCAAAGCACTCTGTGCTTCCCAGCCCCATCACCTGAAAGACAGAGATAAGATAAGCACATAGTCTATGGAACAATCATTGTCCCAAAGATAGTAGAACTCTTTGACCACCTACCTAGTGAGCTTTAGTCCATAAAAAGTATTGTAGATCTTTCACATTCCTGTTTGTATTTATGCCTTTGTCTGTCTATCCGTCCATTCTAACTGTAGGTAAATGCATAATTATATTATATTGGGTTGTTAATTTAAAATACAGTTGATGTACAGTATCTTACATCTTATTTTTAGTATAAAAGACCAGCTAGAAATTGACAGTAGAAAATCAATATAATGCACAAGGAAAACAAAACAATAAAATCAATAAAAATGATACAGAATTTCAAAACAAGATGATAGGAAATTAACAATGGTCACTGTATTGCTCATTGTTATCTTTAAAATAGTTGCTCAGATTACAAGACAAAAGCATGCAAAACAGATCAAACAATATAAGAACTAAGTTTCTTTCCCTGAACTAATATAATTGGTAATATGATCATCTTAGCTATCTTGTGTGTATATACATCTATATATTTTCCCCTTCCTTCTTTTCTATTTGTACCTGTCCCAGTTGTTCTTTACTCTTGAGCAATTTCTTTCCCTTTCATGTTATCTGTTGTGCATTTTGAATCTTATTTACTCTTTCAGTTTCTTACACTAGGGAAATAATGTGATGTTTATACATGTGAGTCTCATTTATTTCACTTATGAGTATGGCCTCCAGTTGCATCTATTACCTATAGTAACCTTGAGTTTATCCTTTATTAGCTAAGTAGTACTCCATTTTATAAAAGTACCACATCTTTTTTTATCCATTTATTCCTCAGTTGGTGGACATTTGAGTTGTTTCCAAGAGTTAGCTTTTAATTTTTCTTTTTGGGACAAAGTCTCACGGAGTTGAAGTTGGCCTTGTGCTCACTTTGTAACCCAGGATGGTCTCAGACTTGCAATGATCCTCCTGCCTCAGCCTTCTGAATGCTGAGATTATAGGAAAGATTTAGTTAGTATAAATTGTGCTGCTATAAACATGGGTGCACATATATCACTGTGGTATGATGTTTTGAATTTTGGGGGGAAAATACTCAGAAGGGGAATAGCTGGATTGAATGGGATCTCTAATCTTAGCTTTTTGAGGAATGTCCACACTGATTTTCACAGTGGTTGCACCAATCTACACTCACACCAACAATGGAGAAGAGTTCTTTTTTTCCTCAAATCCTGACAGTATTTGTTGTTGGTTGATTTCTCGATAACAGGTATTCTTTCTGGAGTGAGATGGAATCTCAGTGTTGTTTTAATTTGCATTTATTGAATGACCAATGATGTTGAACTTTTTTTTCATATATTTGCCTTTTGTATTTTTTCATCTGAGAAGTACATACTCATCTCAGATGCCCATTTTTGGATTGGGTCTTTGAATTTGGGGGCTTGATTTTTTCAGTTCTTTATATGTTCATTTTAAAACATAATTCCATAGCTATTTATTTATTTTTTATTAAAAAATTAAAAGAAAGAATGGGATTAAGATAAAAGAGGACATAACAACATAATAACACAAGTCCGAACAGAACAATTTAAGCAACATAGTGTTTCACCACAAGATAACTCGACATAACAGTAGCTACCATAGTGTCTTTTTCCTTGAAATATTTGAGTATAACTTCATATAGTATAGCATCAAACACAATATGACAGTGTGAAACCATTCAAGAGAATGAAAGTATTACAGGGTATTTAGAACCAACTAACAAAATGAACAGTGGTTTTTATATTATCTCCTTGTCTATAAAAATTTTGTTTATACTATCACATATTTCCATAGCTATTTAATGTATGTCCTTGCCATACCTAAAATCATCTCTTTTAAAACCAGATTTATTGATCTTATACTTCAGGAAGCATTGTACTTAGTATTATTGCTTCATGAGCATACTGAGAAAGTAAACTTGTCTAGTGAGGGAGGGGAAATAGCCTAATGCCTGCCCAGGTGGATGAGAGAGTGAACAAGACATGTAAGTCGATTGGTTATCTGGGCGGGCAGGCCAGAACTATATGCTGTTATCCTGAGTGTCCCAGTTATGTTCTTAGAATGTTATAATAATAAGATCTTACACTCAGGGTTTTTACAAATGTCATAAAAATGTTCTGTCAGTCAGTGCTTAGAATCATGTATTTCCAAAGCTAACAGGAACTTTAATGTCCATCCACTTTGAGATCCCTGACAATGTGCAGCATCTGTATCATCATTAATCTTTGCCTGGCTGATTGATCCTTAGGAAGAAGCTTCTTCCCTATTTGGGAGGAGGCTCAGATCTTTCTGTTATGCACTTCCCTGGCACTCTATGCTTTTGGACTGTCCTCATACCTGCATAGCCTTGTTTAAAGGCTGTCTTCCTTTCACACTGAAAGGTAATAATTAAAACGTTATTACCTTTCAAGAAAGATTGTGTGGTGTGTGTTGAACCTGGAGTGGGGGGAGGAAGTGTATTGCAAACATTCACGTGCATGTTCCTGGCTTTGCTGCAAGAGCAAGGATTATGCCCACCTGTTCACCAGTGTATCATCAATACTTAATATGGTTTCTGGCACATAGCAGGTGCTTCATAAATTTTTGATGTATTTACTTCAATAAAAATCAAGCCTGAACACTCACACAGGACATTATGATCAAACACACTATAGATGTATGTTTTACCATTTATTTCTATCATCATTAGAGGATACTGTGAGATTCCAGCCAAGTTCAGATGCTTAAATGGTGAAGCAGGGACAGTATGCTTCCTCAGTGCTTTTTAAAACTTTAATATTTTCTCTGAGTAGAAGGTCCTTGGTAGCTATACAGCTCTCATGGTGTGTAATGCATGCACACACACATCCAGACACCACAACATCCTTGAGATTACAAGATTAAATAAATATTCAGAAATGAAGTTAACAAAAATGAAGAAGTCACAAGTGAGGGTTTTTTTTGTAAGAATGACCTGTCCTAAGGAATAGTCAACCATCAGGTAAGTAAAATCAGAGCTGTGTAGCTGATGAGGGTATGATGTCTGAAATAGTGATATATCAACATCTCAAACCAATCATTGTGATCTTTATAAATGAATGATGACATAATCAAATTATAACCCAATCAAGTATATTGCATAAGAGGTCATAACAAAGTATTAGTTATTATCTTTCAAGAAAGATTGCATGGTGTGTGTTGAACCTGGAATAAGGGAAGGAAGTATTTTACAAACATTCACATGCATGTTCCTGGCTTTGTCTGCTGAATAGACATTTGAAATAGTGGGTAGGAACACTACCCCCCAGTTGGTTGGTAAATGGAGCATACCATTATCATGGCTTTCAATCCATAAGGTAATTCAATTTCTTTTCCTGATTCTATTTTATCCAAGAAAACCTCCAGTGATAATTTTGTTTTCCATGTTGCACAAAATACACAGTGGAATTCCTTTAACATGTGAAATAAAACATATGCAAAATACTGTCACATTTTTATAGGTCTTAAATGCTTGTCAAATACCGTCCTTTGACGGTGAGCACTCGTGAGGAATGGGATTGATGGTGTAAATTTTGAGGACAGAAGTCATATAGAAGGCTTAAGTAACACTGTTTCCTTTTTCCTTTTTGCATTTCTGTATTCTCTGATTTATT